GAGGTCAAGATAAACAAGGCTAATATTATAGTTGGACAACCATAGAAATATTGAAGAAGTACTTAAATCGTTGATAGAAAGTTCAACACTAGCAAGAGATTTAGAAGAGTTTACGTAAGAAAGAGTGGAAAGAATTGGAGAAGGAAGATCACGTCCCCGTAGTGTCAAGTTTGTTAATTCAGGAAGCTTATTAACGGCTTCCATCCAATTGAAAACATTGCTGAGATTTGCAGAACTCAAGTCGAAATATCTTAACGACGAAAGAAGTGTTGAAAATTTGGATCTGCCCGTTGGGTCCCACTCTAACAACACCAATACTGTCCCCACTTTACCACCCGCCCAATCCGTCAGGTGTGGGGTTTTATCACAAAAGGCCTCAGTATTAGTTAGAGTGTGGTAATTCTATTTAAACCCATTTGTTTTCTTTCACTCCACCGATGTGGGATTCCAACACTCCCCCTCACGTGTAATCACACGTGAAGATCCACACATCGGCAATTGAAACTCAGAGGTCGGCTCTCGTTGGGCCCACTTGTTTTCAATGGAACTCAGAGGTCGGCTATTTTCAAGCTTCATTGGCATTTTTAAGAGTTTCCGTCTTTTTTTTTTTTTTTTTTTTTTTTGTTTTGTTTGTTTGACAAGCGTCGTTAGCTTGTACGAACCTGGCTCTGATACCATGTTGAAAATTTGGATCTGCCCGTTGGGTCCCACTATAACAACACCAATATTGTCCCCACTTTACCACCCGCCCAATCCGTCAGGTGTGGGGTTTTATCACAAAAGGCCTCAGTATTAGTTAGAGTGTGGTAATTCTATTTAAACCCATTTGTTTTCTTTCACTCCACCGATGTGGGATTCCAACAAGAAGAGGAAGCCATTCGAGATTTTCTACATTTGTAAAGTAATTAGCACTCAAGTCCAGATACACCAAGTTCGTAAGATTTCCGACCTGACTTGGAAACTTGCCACCAAAATTAGTCCAAGACAGATCAAGGTATCTTAAATTGATTAGAGAACCAATGAAATCTGGAAATGGGCTCCCATTGAAATCAATATATCCAAGGTCCAAATGTTCTAAATGTTGCAACTCAATCAGTTTAGGACTAATCATCTTACCTTGCAAAGAAAACACTTCAACTCCTCCATGAAGATCAACTTTAATAACATGGCCCCTCTGGTTGCTACAAGAGTCTCCTCTCCATCTGCAACAATCTTGTTTTTGGGCTTCTGAACCCCATGAAGAGAGGAGATCAGACTTATCCACCAGGGCACGTTTGAATGCAAGGAGAGTGCTTGCCTTTCTCTCTCTATGCACCTTATGGTCACGTTAGTATCCCTCTGACTGTGGTCCACCTCTTCTCCTCCTTGGGTGTATTGTAGCAAAAGCAAGAAAGAGTTTCAAGCACCTTCCGTGGCCTTGCATGTTAATAGATTCGAATGCAAGATCAACAAGACCCAATTGTTTATTGATCTATGGTTGTCTCTGCGCTTCTCCATATATATAAGGGGGGAAAAAGTCTTTACGAGCTTGAATAGTATGCAAATTTTGTCATATGTTGCAAGTCTGCAGCCCTCTATTCTTATATTGGAGAAAAGTTTCGAGTGTGCTAAATTGAACCCAACTTTTTATATGATGCATTAATGGCAGCAAAATCTTGACAAATGAGTTTCAAATTATTAGATAGTACCTACTGGAATGTTGCCCCAAAATTCCTTATTTTTCTTCCCACATAATTATCGACTTAGACTTGAGATGGTGATTTGCCTTCCAACAAGCACCAAAACTATTTAAGAATGACTTGATTTGTATTTAAGAATGCAAATCTCGACTCTACCTCACTTGACTTTAGATGGTGATTCTACTCCATCTCAAGTCACTTTTGTGCATAAATAATTTGTGAGAATAAACTTATACAAAAAAAACATTATCAAACCACTTCACTTATCTAGTGGGTAAGGTTAATTTAATGTAACATTTATAACCTCGACCACTTTTTTTTAATTGACAATACAATTAAGCATCGCCAATACCGCATTTGTACTTGAAAAAATTCCATTATTAAGGAAAAAGTGCCCCATTAACCAAAACTTTTCACAATGACTTATATATTTCTTAAGCAAACTTTACGTGGTGACATAATTTTTATGGCTATGTTTCATTATTTTTTTCCTTCTTAATCAATTGCTAGTGTAAGTATTAGTTTGACCTTAAAAACTTGGACTGTTTAATTCCACAGAAGCACATCTTTGATAATTCGGAGTGCAAATAATAATCTTCTCCCACAACTTAGTATGAAAGATCAAGTCCAATAATATGACCAATTTGGTTGCTACAAGAGACTCCTATCCAGCTGCAACAATCTTGTTTTTGGGCTTCTGAACCCCATGAAGAGAGGGAATCGAACTTATCCACCAACCCACGTTTGAATGCAAGGAGTGCTTGCCTTTCCCTCTCTATGCACCTTATGGTCATGTTAGTATATCTCTGACTGTGGTCCAATATCTCTTCTCCTTGGGCGTATTGTAGCAAAGGCAGCGTAAATGTAAGAAAGAGTTTCAAGCACCTTCCGTGACCCTGCATGTTAATAGATTCAAATGCAAGATCAACACGATCCAATTGTTTAGGGTTTAATTATTGATATATGGTTGTCACGGTGCTTCTCCATATATACAGGGGGGAAAAGAAAGTCTTTACGAGCTTGAATAGTATGCAAATTTTGTCATATGCTGCAAGTCTGCAACCCTCTATTCCTATATTGGAGAAAAGTTTTGAGTGTGCTAAATTGCCCAACTTTTTCAATGATGCATTAATGGCAGCGCATTCTTGACTATTGAGTTTCAAATTATTAGATAGTACCTACTCAAATTTTGCCCCAAAATTTCTTTTTGGTTTTTTTCACACAACTATTGACTTAGACTTGATATGGTGATTTGTCTTCCAACACGCACCAAACTATTTAAGAATGACTTAATTTGTATTTAAAATGCAAGTCTTGACTCTACTTCACTTGACTTGAGATGGTGATTCTACTTCAAGTCAATTTTGTGCATAAATAATTTGTGAGAATAAACTTATACAAAAACCATTATCCAACCACTTCACTTATCTAGTGGGTAAGGTTAATTTAATGTAACATTTATAACCTCTACCACATTTTTAATTTAATTATGATTTTGACGCTTTGCATAATTGGGGAGGCTTTATTTTTAAAAGATTCAGGGCATTAGGCCAAATCCGTTGCGTTTATGGAGTATATAATGCATATTGTGCGTAGAAAATGATACGCTGAATAGTGATTAGCATCAAATGCTTCGCCAAATTGGTTCAGGACAGCCACAAATGTTGAATATTTTATTTTATTGTACTTGTTTGGAGTGATCCCACGTTGTTGTTCTTGCTTTTGTTTTTTTTAAGACATTTCATATTGAGATGGGCGATAACATACTAAGCTTATACATACTACATAGATGCTAGGATTCGAATCCATAACCTTTTTTAAGAAGCGTTTGCTCCAAACCACTACACTAGTGGATCATTTGTTGTTCTTGTTTATGCTTAAATAATCTATTTCAAAATTGAGATTGAGATATTGAATAATGAATGAGTTAATTCATTAGTTTTTCTTTTTGAAATGAATAATCTAATTCAAAATTGAGATTCAAGATGGCAAAAGTAAACGAGTGTCGTTCTCCCCCAGCGAAAAAGCACGAAAGATGGCTGGTCAGGTTGGTGTTGTGTCTGTTAAGCAGCTCCACACAACAAGGTCACGGGACTTCATTGGGGTTGTATGAAAAATGATTCCAACAAATTTTTTTTTTTCAGCTAAACCCATGAGTGCCAATCTTAATTCTGATGGCGAATTTGCATACGGAAACAGGGCTCCATATTCCTGGTTTGGTATATGATGCCACGGAAACAGATTACATCAAATTTTTGTGTACACCACCAAATTGTTGCAGATGATAACAAAAAACAATAACAGCCAATGCTCATCAGAATCTAACGATGGAAATGTACTCAGTTATCACCTAAACCAACCATCCTTTATGATTTCTAACCAGCATCCAAATCAATCCATTAGGGGGGTTTTCAATAGTACTGTCACCAATGTTGGGTCACCAACATCCACATATGAAGCTAAAGTTATCGGTGCACCAAAAGCACTTGAAATCAAAGTTAATCCAAACGTTCTTTCTTTCACATCTCTTGGGCAGAAGCTATCTTTTTCAGTCACAGTAAATGGGTCAATTGAGAAATCCAAGCGTTCAAGCGTTCTTTCGTTCACATCTCTATGAAGTCAGCAAAAGTGCTTTTGCTTTGGTAGTGAAAGTTGAGCTGGGATGCACTTAGTGAGTCCATTATCATTATTGGTGATGCAAGTTCAGTAGCATCATATAGCTGGAATGAATGAGATCAATTAATGTATATATTTATGGCTTTTGTTTGGTTGATTAAAATAACAATATAGCTGGAATTAATACATAATGGGAAGTTCGAATCAATTGTTCTTAAAAGTAATTAAAAAAAATACAAAATCATATTTATTCCTACTAAGCACTCCAAATTACCTCATAATCTTCTGTAGATATTTGTGCAAGACACAGTAACAAATCATTACTATGAACTATGGGATGGGAGAAAAGAAAAGAGAAAACTAATTGGCTTTCAGTAGTAAATGATATGATTTAAAATACTCTACAGAAAAGAACATTAATGGCAAACAATTGTTTCAAGTTCTTACAAATCATTTACCACTAAATAATTGCTAACAAACAAAGACACAGTGACAAATCTTTATTAAGGAAATTCCCACTACATAATCCAAAACTTGAAACTTCTGCAAATATTTAATTGCTTCCATGGCAACTATATGCACTCTTCAAGTCTACTGAAGCTGCAAGTAAACAAGAAGAATTCATAACTTGCCTCCATAAGTTTTGAAAGGACAGTTAATAACTTAATTATGATGTAAAAACAGAAGAATTCATGTACTTACAGCTTATCTACTAAGCATATCCTTTAGTTGCCGCTTGATCAAAGCTACTTGCACATAAAGCCAATCATTTAAACCATTTACGAACTCGAAGTATGCATATCTCCATGACCTCTTAAATATCAAAGTGCCGCAAACTCCCCAAAATCCAGCTGCAAACCCAAGCCCCATACTGATGTAAAATCCCAGTGTTATAAGCTCATCCTCATCATCCTCTTGATTGCTCAAGTCAGTTTGCACATTTTGATCAGCACATGTCTTTTTAAGTGGAGGTCCACAAAGTTGAGGATTTCCAGCATAAACAGAGGGATCAAAGCCTTGGAGCTGAGTTCCGATGGGAATTTTGCCAGACAAATTATTAAATGACAAGTCCAAGACACTAAGACGATCAATCCGCGAAAGGCTTGTTGGAATTCTTCCTTCTATCTGGTTTCTTGACAAATCAATGGCGTCCAGTGACTGCAAGTTTCCAATCTCTGGAGTGATTTGACCTGTTAATTGGTTTCCCGATAGGTTTAAAGAAACCAACCCAACAAGATGAGTGATTTCACTTGGAATCTCCCCTATTAATCTATTGCTTGACAAATCAATTCTCTTCACCAGTCCCAATGTGTTTTTGTATGAGTACATTCTTCCCTTCCACATGAATGTTGCATCCTCCTCATATACAGCACTAATTGAACTATTATTACTATTTATGTAAACAAAATGTGAGATGTTCAAACTTGGATTTCCTTTCTGAGCTAGAGTAGTCAGATTGTTGAGACATTTGGGTATGCTTCCAGAGATATTGTTTATAGATAAATCCAAAATTTGAATGTGTGTTAGATCGCATAATTGTGAGGGCAGGCTTCCATTGAAGTGATTAGACGAAAGCATCAGGATAACCAAATCCTTTAAGCTAACCCCTAACCATTTAGGTATTGGTCCGGATAATTTATTATCCCCAGCATCAATGACTTTTAAACGTGTGCAATTCTTCAATGACGAAGGAAATTGTCCCACAAATCTATTGCTTCTTAATTTGAGCGTTTCAATCCAAAATACAGAGCCTATTGTTGTAGGAATATTCCCGGACAAAGCATTGTAACTCAAATCAAGCATGACTAGATTTTTCAAATATGTCAAGCAATCTGGAACTTGTCCAGAAACATTGTTGTTTGAGAGGTCAAGAAAGTCTAAAAACATAGCTGCACTTGAACACAAGAACGAAATTGACCCTGAAAGTGTATTATTAGAGAGATCCAGATTTAAGGTTTTTGATAGAAATGAGGGGATTGGACCTTCCAATTGGTTCGAACTCAGATGCACTGTAGGGAAATACGAAAATTCAAATGTCAAATTTACCAATGTACCTCCAATTTGGTTTCTTGCGAGATTCATAAATGTCACATTACGACATAAACTCCAAAACCAACTTGGAAGGATGTCGGAAATTTTAGCATTAGAAATATCAAGGAATGAGAATTTTTTTTGAGTTTGAAGCCATTTTGGGAAATCTGGACCCATCTTGCAAGACCCCAAATTTATGTAGTCCAGTTGGAAAGGAGGAATCCAATCAGCATGGATGTCTAAAACTAGCGAGTTAGAAGATAGATCCAAACTCTGTAATTTGGATAGTTTTGTGAAATGAATTCCTGAAATTACTCCGCTTAATTGATTGTTATTAAGATACAAGACTTCCAAAGATGAAAGCTGTGTAAGATCAGGTAATGACCCTGCAAGATGATTCCAAGAGAGATCCAAAATCCCCAATGAGTTTTGAGCACATGTAGAGAATAATATTTGAACAAACTTAGAAAGTTGTCCACTCAGAAAATTGCTTGAGAGACCCAATGATTGCAAACTACATAACCCGGCAAAAGAATGCGGGACCTCTCCTTCAAGTTGGTTATTAGAGAGATCAAGATGTGCCAGAGAGCTCATGTTTCCAAAAAAATGCGGGACAACCATACGAATATTGAAGAAGTACTCAAATGGTTCGAAGAAAGGTCAACGCTGGCAAGAGATTTAGAAGAGTTTATGTAAGAAAGAGTGGAAAGCACTGGAGAAGAAAGATCACAGCCCTCTAGTGTCAAGTTTGATAGTTCAGGAAGCTTATTGATGGCTTCCGGCCAATCATAAACATTGCTGAGATTCACGAAATTCAAGTCCAAATATCTTAATGACGAAAGAAGAGGAAGCCAGTCAAGATTTTCTGCATTTGTAAAGTCATTAGCTTCTAAGGCAAGATACTGCAAGTTCGTAAGATTTCCGACCTGACTTGGAAACTTGCCTCCAAAATAAGTAAAAGACAGATCGAGGTATCTTAAATTGGTTAGAGAACCAATGAAATCTGGAACTGGGATCCCAGTGAAATTAACCCCATCAAGGTCCAAATTTTGTAAATAGTGCAACTCAATCAGTTTAGGACTAATCATCTTACCTTGCAAAGAATACAGTCCATGAAGATCAACTTGAATCACATGGCCCCTCTGGTTGCCACATGAAACTCCCACCCATCTGCAACAATCTTGTTTTTGGGCTTCTGAACCCCATGAAGAGAGGAGATCGGACTCATCCACCAGGCCACGTTTGAATGCAAGGAGTGCTTGCCTTTCCCTCTCTATGCACCTCCCGGTCACATTATTAGTATCCCTGTGACTGTGGTCCAGCTCTCCTCCTTGGGCGTACAGTACTTCTCCATATACGAGTTTGCATCAAATATATATGGGAAAAGAAAGAAAGTCTTTACGAGCTTGAATGGTATGCATGTAATTAGTTGCAGCCCGGTGTAAGCTAACACAAAGCAACATGCTATCATACAAGACAAAATCATAAAAGCGGAGTAAAATATCACATGTCAAAGTTAATGTAAAATTAATGCTGTGGAATTCATATAAGAACATCGCACTTTTATTTTCTATTTTTTATTTTTTATTTTTGTGTGTGTTCCTGCACAGAAACTTTATTGAATTGGGAAATTAATTCGTTTTCTCGGTTTCATTTCATAGAAACATTTTATGAAAATAATTTCTAAGGACATTACTCGACGAGACCTGTATTATGATAATTTCTATTCTTATATTGGAGAAAAGTTTTGAGGGTGTGCTAAATTGGACCCAACTTTTTCAATGATGCATTAATGGGAGAAAATTCTTGATAAATAAGTTTCAAATTATTAGATAGTACCTACTCGAATTTTGCCCCAGTGTTTCTTATTTTTCTTCCCACACAACTATTGACTTGTTCTTGAGATGGTGATTTGACTTCCAACATTCACCAAACTATTTAATGACACGAACTGACTTTATAGCCTCCACCACTTTTTTTAAATCAACAATACAATTAATTATCGTCAATACTACATTTTGTGCAGTTTTGTTTTTGAACTGTGACATAAGATTTGTACTTGAAATTTCTTTTAGGGCCTGTTTGGATGAGGGACATGGACAAGAAATGAAGGAAAAGTCCCCCCTTAACTTTTGATATTTCTTAACCAAACTTTCCGCGATGACTTATATATTTCTTAAGCAAACTTTACGTGGTGACTTTAATTTTCATGGCTCTATTTCTTTTTTTCTTTTTTTCCTTTGTACCTAATTTCTTAATAGTGTAAGTATTTTTTTGAGTCAAAAGGTGATAGCATTTTATTCAAGGAAAAGGATGGAACAAGTACAAAAAGCGGGCTATGACTAGACAATTAGGCAACTGTCTCTACACCCAATGGGCGTTTTGGTCTTCAACTATGAAGTAGCCTACCCTCTCAACCACAAGCTAATAGTGTAAGTATCAGCTTGACCTTGAAAACTTGGACTGTTTAATTCCACAAAAAGCACATCTTTGATAATTCGGATTTCTTTTAATGTGCCAATACATATGTGCGCTTTGTCAAACTTTTACCAAAAGCAGATTTTTCAAAAGTGAATTATCTTTTTGAGTGAACAATACGACTAAGAGTGTGGGATATTACAAAAAATGAGCATGTATTAATTTTGGCACATCCTTTCAAATATTAGAACAGACATCCTTCCAACTTGAGATGAGATTCTTTCCTTTCAAATGCTTCTCCATCATCCTTCTAACGTGTTTGAGATATTCACACAGACAAACAGGAAACCAAAACAGAGCCATATATTTATACAAGACATGACAAGAAAAAGTCCACGAATCATCTGCCCCTGCTACAAATTAAGTTAGACACTAATTTTCACAATGCAATTAAGTGGTTAGATATTGACTTGACTTAAGTAATTGAATAAATTTTGGAATTCTCAATTAGTTTGGATCACCCTATATTGATATTCCATTGACTTGAAAGATAAAAACAAGGGCTTTTCATATGTAAGTAAGCCCATAAACGGGGCCCTAAATATAAATACTAATAAAAAAAACACCTACAATACTTAAATCTTAGGAAAAAACCTATTTCACTTTTTTTTTCCAAACTAAAAAGGGACCAAATATACCATATAAGCCTTTTTTTTAAAACCTAAAAATTAGAATAATGCCATCATAATTTATTTTTTTCCCTAAAAATTATACTGCAAGGATAGTAATGGTATTTCACACATCATTCAAAATAAATAAATAAAATATAGTACAACTAGTTTTTTTCCCTTCAATTTATAGGTTTTATGTATAAATTTGTCCTCCTAGTCATTCTCCTTTCAACAATTTGTTTGGTGACTCGAGCTCAACAATGTCATCCAAGCGGCAGAACTAGAGGAAGGAAGGCCCCTGCTGGACAATGCAACCAGGAGAATGACTCTGATTGCTGTGTCGCCGGCAAAATGTACCCAACCTATACATGTTCACCGCCATTGTACGGGGAGCACCAAGGCCTACCTCACTCTTAACAGTTTTGAGGCAGGTGGTGATGGCGGCGGTCCATCAGAATGTGACAACAAATACCACAATGACAACACACCAGTTGTGGCATTGTCCACTGGATGGTACAACAATGGAGGAAGATGCCATAACAACATCACAATTAGCGCTAACGGGCGAAGCGTGGTGGCCATGGTGGTGGATGAGTGTGACTCTACTGAGGGATGTGATGCAGACCATGACTACCAACCTCCTTGTCCTAACAACATTGTTGATGCTTCAAAGGCGGTCTGGAAAGCCTTGGGTGTGCCTGAGGACAACTGGGGTGGCTTAGATATCACATGGTCCGACGCTTAGTTATATTACTGTGATCTGTCTAGCTAGCTGGTTGCTTTCTGTTTATGTATATGTCATGCGTTCTATTATATAGAACATACTAGATAGACCTTGTATAATCATATTTTGTTTAATAAAATGTTTTAGATTTCTAATGAAAATGCATGACATATACATAGACAGAAAGCAACAAGGTTTCAGAAAACAACTTGTCATTTTCTTTTGGCATTTCCTGTATCCAAGTAGCTTGTCCTATACAAGGGTGCATTTTAATAACAGATTGTCTCACTAAACACCCTGTCTACAGAAGTTGTTTATATGCAAGGTTTCAGAGTATAATGAAGCACCGATGAAAACTGTTCGAAAAATGGGCCTAGGCGGCCGCCTAGGCGCTAGGCGGGAGGACACCACCGCGATCTCACCCTAATCATCAAGGGTGGGCTCCGCGTAAGAGGCCCTGAGGCGGTGCTGGGAAGAAGAAAATATTAGACCTAATTTTTCACATAACTGACGGGTTAGGCTTTATAAAATGGACTTAAACATTGTATTAAAATGGGCCTGCTTTTAAACATAACAAAATGGGCCTATATTGAAAAAAGTAAACCTTTTTTTTATTTTTTATATAAAGGTTGCAGAAAAATACAAAAGTAAAAGTCAGATAATAATAATATCAAGGTTCTAAAATGTTAAAGATTTCTTTTATATATCCTTTTATTTTGCATGATTTTGGCATAAATTTATAATTTAAGAATTGTAATACAAAATAATTATATTTAAACAGGGCTAGGCGGTTGTTTAGGCCACAATTACTCCTCTGGGCGCTAGACCCCTGCATGCCTCTCGCCGCCTATTGCCTAGCAATTTTTCAGACATTGGAAATGACGTATGGTTCATGATTTTAATACTATTTTAGCGAATCGACAGTGTTCTTTACCTTTAATTAATTCAAGTAGCTTGTCAGTCATTCGTGAATGAAAATTTGAAAATGAGGGTATGAATTATAAATATTTTTTCATTGTATTAAAATTCACCCCTTTTGATATCAACATAAGAGTAATACAAAATAAAGACTACTTGTTTACATTATATATAATTTTTAAGCATCAGCCCAAGTAATATCCATATATCCCCAGTCATTTTTCGGAACTCCCAATGCTTCCCAAACTGCTCTTGAGGCATCAACAATATTGTCAGCACATGGAGGCTGATAATCATGGACTTCATCGCATCCCATCGTCGAATCGCATTCATCGACAACCATTGCCACCACACTCCTCCCATTAGCACTTATAGTAATGTTGTTGAGGCACCTGGACTTTCTGTTGAACCAGCCGGTTGATAGTGCAACAATTGGTCTGTCATCAGAGTGATATTTCTTGTCACATTCTGATGGACCGCCGCCATCCCCTCCCTTCTCGAAGCTGTTGAGGGTTAGAACTGCCTTGGTGTGGCTAGACACTTGGGGTGAGCACTTGTAAGTTGTGTAGATCTTGCCTTTAAAGCAACAATCGGAGTCGTCCTCCGTGTTGCATTTTCCATGAGGAGGTTTCTTCCCTATGATTTTGCCACTAGGCCTGCAAACTTGAGCTTCAACCTCTAAACAATTTAAAGCAAGAACAAACAATATAGTAAGAGACACTAATAAGATTGTATTCTTCATGCTCTCTTCTTGAATAGCTTGATCCTCTTTCAATTTTTGATGCACAATTAGGAGGGATATTGGGATATTTATATAGGGAAGGATTCCTAAAACAATATAAGCTTAAGTACTTGGAGCCAACGATAGCTTGCCTTACAGTGTACCGACAATGGTACCATATTAACAGTCATGAAGGCGTCGCTGCGTTGCTGTCACGGTCTGATTTGGCGCTGTTAGATCGATTATTATAAAGATAATTTATGGGAAAAATGGACATTTTAGTCTTAGCAGCAGATGGGTTCAAAGACTTCTTTTAGATAGAGTAGCATATTGTACATGGAACATATAATTGTCTCTTTGTGTTTGTCTTTTGGGAATTGATACTGTCACTTTCTGTATGTTCCATTGGGGAGTTTAATCCAAATCATCTTTAATCAATTAAGACTGTGACGCTTAGCATAATTTCAGGATGATTTATTTTTAAATTGATTCAGGCAAATAGGATATGTCCGTTACGTTGATGGAGAAGATTTGTTGAATTTTGATTGTTCTTTGGGCACTGGGACTTGCTATATATACCACCCTCAAATGCCTTTATTCATCAAACACATCCTACACAAGAGCACACAAGTAGAGACAGAGAGAAACAGAGGGAAAATGAAGAGCTTAGCAATTTTCTCAAAAGGCTCCATTGGCCTACTGGTAATTCTCCTTGCAACAATTTACTTGGTGACTGAAGCTCAGCAATGCCGTCCAAGCGGCAGAATTAGAGGAAGGAAGGCCCCTGCTGGACAATGCAACCAGGAGAATGACTCTGACTGCTGTGTCGCCGGCAAAATGTACCCAACCTACACTTGTTCACCGCCATTGTCTGGGAGCACCAAAGCCTACCTCACTCTGAACAGTTTCGAGGCAGGTGGTGATGGCGGCGGTCCATCAGAATGTGACAACAAATACCACAATGACAACACACCAGTTGTGGCATTGTCCACTGGATGGTACAACAATGGAGGAAGGTGCCATAACAACATCACAATTAGCGCTAATGGGCGCAGCGTGGTGGCCATGGTGGTGGATGAGTGTGACTCTACTGAGGGATGTGATGCGGACCATGACTACCAACCTCCTTGTCCTAACAACATTGTTGATGCTTCAAAGGCTGTCTGGAAAGCCTTGGGTGTGCCTGAGGACAACTGGGGTGGCTTAGATATCACATGGTCCGATGCTTAGTTGCATTTTAGTACCGTATCTCTATAGTTTAATTTGCGTTTTGTTGTCAATGTCGGTGGAATGTTGTGTTCTATAACATGTTATGTACACTATGAAAACATCCTAGTTTTTCTATGAAATTATTTTGTTTCAATATGGACTTTCTTTCTGTTTTAGTTTTGTTGCCAAACTAGTCTCCACCATCTGGATTTCTAACTTAGAAATGCAGTACATGTGACAATAAGATGGAGGTCAACCCTTCAAAACCTCTATTTTGCTTAATCTATTACACTAGTATTCATATAAATTGCTTGTTGTACAAGGGCTTGAATGCTTCACCAGTTTGTAACCAAAAAAAAACAATTTCTTTTTTTTTGAAAATAAAAAACAAACAAACAAACAAATAAAGATGAAGAGATGGGTGTGTTTTTTTTTCTTTACAAGAGATGGTTTAAGTTTTATATATATTGTTGATTCTTTCTCTGAAAGCTTAAATTTTTAAGGTTAGTGATTGTCTAACATGGTATCGGAACCTTTCTTGAAAAGTGATCGTGAGTTTGAAACTGGTCCTTTTTGGGAACGTTGATATGGATGCCAATGTCATTTGACAGGATGCCAATGTCATTTCACAGGATGCCAATGCCATTTGACCAAGAAAAGAAACCATTCGTTCCCCTATAAGGCAAAAGTTGCCTCATTTTGAATAAGCAAAAAGAATAGTCAATTAATTCAAAACTCAAAAGTGAGCAAACACGATCAAGTTCAAGTTTGCCATAAACGATTTTAACCATGAATCTTAACGGTGGATAATGATATATTAGGCCCAAAACCCTCCAATTTTCATGGTTGGGCATTTAGTTTTGAGAGTCATCTAAAAACAACTAACACAAGCAAAGGTTGTGCACAATAAGATTGACCACTAATTCAAGATTTATAGGATTTGTGACCACACATCCACTATGCCAACTATAGAGGGAAGTGCACAAAAACCAACCACGCACTAGCCACCTTCCCAATGACTTTTTATTATTTATAGCCCAAATATCATTTTTATAAAAACCTTCCAAATATATATATATATATAGAAAAAAAAACCCACTTACGTGCATTAGATTATTAACCAAGCAAGGAAAGCAACAAAGACATGGATATTCTTGCACTGTATATGATATACCTAACAAAGATTTTGACCCTTAGCTTTGTTTAGGTGGGAGGATTCATTTTAAAAATTAATCAAGCCACTAGGCCATGGCCCTTAAATGAAGAGCTGGAGAGAAACACAAGTAGAGATGGAGAGAAACACGCAGAAAATGAAGAGCTCAGCAATTTTTCCAAGAGGCTCCACTGTCCTACTAGTCATTCTCCTTTCAACAATTTGCTTGGCCACAGAAGCTCAGCAATGCCGTCCAAGCGGCAGAATTAGAGGAAGGCAGCCTCCTCCTGGACAGTGCAACCAGGAGAACGACTCTGAATGCTGTGTAGAAGGCAAAATGTACCCAACCTACCGATGCTCGCCCCCATTGTCCCGGCATACCAAGGCCTACCTCACTCTCAACAGCTTTGAGGCAGGTGGAGATGGGGGCGGTCCATCAGAATGTGACAACAAATACCACAATGACAGCAACCGAGTTGTGGCTTTGTCCACTGGATGGTACAACAATGGAGGAAGGTGCCATAACCACATCAGAATTAATGGTAACGGGCGCAGTGTGGTGGCCATGGTGGTGGATGAGTGTGACTCTATGGAGGGATGTGATGTGGATCATGATTATCAACCTCCATGTCCAAACAACATTGTTGATGCCTCAAAGGCTGTTTGGGAAGCATTGGGTGTGCCTCGAGACCAATGGGGTGGCTTAGATATCACATGGTCTGATGCTTAGTTACATTAGTGTCTGTTGCTTGATGTCTTTTTATGGTGGAATGTGTTCTTAGCAGTTCTTTAATGTATTTTAGCTATATTGAATCTTCTGTTAATGTAACACGGACTTTTTGTCTACGCATGGTGTGCATGCCTCTGTTTTCAACCCTGTTTCCTTTCGTTTTCCTAGAACGACAAAGCATGATAAGTGTCGGGAAAAGTGGCTTGATCTTTCCTCTGTCGGTGGCCGAAATTGTAGAAAACACATGAAAAGGTCGGAAGGTGAATTGGGGAAATGAAAAAGAAACTAGAGGAAGTCTATAACATAACAAGTCACATGGTCCAACAAGAGAAATTTTCAAACCAAATTTAGTATATCTAAAGATGAAAGTGAATTGAAACCATGAATGGTACAAGAATGCTAAATTTCAAACTAAATTTTGAATAAACTAGAGAAATATGAGTACATCCCCAATGTCTACCATGGATAAATGAAGTTAGAATTATCGAAGGCCAGAATCAGCTGGCTTCTGTTTTCCATCATCGATGCTTCAATGAATAATAGGTTCGACCAGCCATGAATGAAACTGAAATGTACATACAACGCCCATGTAAATAAAACAAGTCACCCTCGCATTAAATCAATGTCAACATGAGTGTTACGAATGTCCAACGGCCGTGATGCCTGCCATGCCGCCAATGAAGCGCTTTGAGAAAGACTTTGATCTGGTGAAATGCTATTTAGCGCAACTGAATTGTCGACTGTCTGATGGTCCAAGTCTGTGGCACCTTCTACAGCTTCCCTTTTCTTGCTCTTCGTCTTTGAGCTACCCCATAGGAAGCTACCTACTATCACCTGGCATCAACCATCGTGTGTTTCAGCCTCAAAATTAACAAAGAAAGAGAGGGGAAGAAAAACAACGATAACTCCTTTATGGCATTCGCTAAGCTACTGTAGCATTTAGATGACTGCAATGGTGCTCTTTTGGTTCAATTTGTGACATAATGAAATGAAATGATGGTTGAATTTAATTTACCGCAACTAAATAGCCAAAAATTATCCTGGCATGTTTCTGTTCTGTTGAACTCATCACCTCGCTACTCTATGGTGCCATTTATGGTAACGGTTACAATATTTGTAAAGAAAACAGCACCAGTCCCTTAAAACTTTCCATGTTGAAAAGATCAACTAGCAATTCATAGGAATGAAAACAATTTACTGAGTGAACACAATGATTGAAGGTCAAAGCAATGAAGAAGTTATTACCTGAACAGGGCTTGCTGCAATAAGCATCCCCCCTACGCCTCCACCAATGACACGACCATCAGGACTAGCAAGGGAGACACTCAGACCGCCAGTTCGGTTCCGGGAGCCACCACTTTCAGTGAGCAAGTAAGAGCCTGACAGACATATTATCTCAAACCGTCCCTAAAGAAGTTACAATCCAAAAGACAAGAAACTGTTTATTATCAGAAAATAGAAAAATAAGATTCAAAGAAGATAAAAGGAATTGATATTACTAGAACAATACATATAAAAAATTGAACTGTCAAAGTTTTTAACTGAAAGAAAACAGAAGGATAAATGAAAAGGAACATACATAAAAGTGTGTCAGTGTGTGTATGCATGCACACACATGTTTGTGCATGAACGATTTCAGGACAAAATTACCACAAACATAACACAGATGCTAATTTTGAATTATTTTCCTGGCAACATATAGTTTTTTAGCAGAAATTTATGATGACTAACAAAAATGAGAATGCCTTTCATATTTGCCTTGCATATAAGACAAGCTTCAACCAACCTTTCATGACAAGGCTCTGGAGTTGATGAGCCCAGTTTCCCGGCATCACCTCATAACCATAAACATTACAATATACAAGAACATTTAGCCTATAATGACTCTTGAACCTTCACAAGGGATTAAAAAATTTATTACTCATCTACTACACACAGCCCATAACTGAGCTAGAAGTGGAATATGATAAAGTGTTCACACCTCATATGTGACTGTACCACCAGAAGTTGAGGGCTGACGAAGTGTCACGGTAGAGACAGCACCATTGGCTGACAAGATACACAGAGCTCTTGGCCCCTGCTGTGAAAACGACATTATTTTTGTTGCAATGTCCTACAAAAAAAAGATAAGCAGATTCAAGACAAAAGAAACTGCTTAAATACATCAACTATTTAAAAAGATACTGTACCACCTAATGTTTTTAGTAATAAAAAAAATCAAACTTTAAAAAGAAATATGTATACAAAATGATAGGATTGAATGCAAAAATTTGATTGCCAATATAGCAGTAATAACAGAAAAATTATCACACCAGTTAATATGAAGAACCTCAATGTTTATTCCTTTTCCCATCAGATTTTGCATTGATTTCATTTAAGTAATGATCATCATTACTTTGGCAGTTCGTGGTGCTCCTTCGAAACTTTGCTTGTCTTATACTATATACAAGCCAACCCACATCAAAATCATGGCCACCTCAAAACTACCAAACTCAAACTGACTTGAAAGCTTGGCTCATTTGGGTAAAATGTATTCTTTAATGTAATTATTATGTATAATATCTATACCTCTACATAATTACATATAAATAATAATATAAAAAGTACTATGTCAACATAAACAAATATATTGACATCTATATAACAAATGAGCCGGCACATGACTCATGAATCAGGCCTCATCAAGCTCAGGTGTCTGAGCTACTCAATTCGATTGCAGACCTAATCAGAATCTATTCCACGTATGAAAGGTTACAACACAAAGTGAAAGAAATAAATAAAAACTAGCATATAAATGGCATCCAGCTGCCTGCCCTATGACACCATATCTTGGCCACCTTAGTTTATCAACAGAGAACTATTCATGGCAAAAGAATTGTAAGTGCTTGCATATAGGAATATATATTGATGAGATAATATGACGTACTTCTCCCATTGCAATGGTGATAATATGAGGAGTAAAACCCATCCCAGCCGAACCAGACAGCAATTCACCTAGCAAAACAATCAACCATTTGCAACATCATTCCCATACCAACAGGTGCCAATGCAGGGCAAGAAGCATATATTTAAACTACGTATGTCATATGAATGCCCTTATAACCAATCTACCCCACATGGAAGAATGCTGCTCTTACAGACAACTAAATAGTAAAATGTAGCTGTTATGTTTAGTATAGACAATCCACATCGAAATTTGTGAAGCTGAAATCAAAAGCATAAAAACATTGTAAAAAGAGGTGCTAATGTAGGAAGCATGGTTCAAAGTTATATTGAATATGTAATTAGATAACCACTAATTCATTGGCTTCCTGCTTATTATTTAGCATCTTTGATGGGTTCACAGTAAGGATTAAGCTACCAAGGACATAAATTCGCAATTTTTTTTGCAGCATCAAATGCTGCAACTTCTCTCTGGATTGCTAAGAAATTTGTATTTCATGGCGTTTCTAACCATTGCTGTGTCTACCTGTATATGATCCAAAAAATTTCAAAATTTCTGTCCAACCCAGTAAATTCCTTTTATTGAAAATGTAGCAACTACATAATTCCACATTTTAGTGCCCTTGCAGGGTTCCATACACCTCACAGTTTACCCTAAATTCTGTTTCACCCCTAGAGTATCATGTCTACTATATTTTGCGATTTTGTTGAGATAGTGTACATCAAACGAGTCAGAATGTCAGTGTATTTACTTCTGCTAATGAGCATTCCAGTTATAGGCAGATTTGAACTAGCAACTAATCCCAGAGAGTGCACAACTAAAGCAGATCATATGAGAATGTAAACAGATGCACTATACTCTAACAAAAGTGTCTGAGGTTTCTCTTAACTCAAAACCCACACCATAAAATTAAAAATCCCTTCAACAAGCTATCACCAGAATTAGCAAACAACTACAAGTCACCCATTAATCAATGTCAATGTCAACACCATACAGAAACTGAAATTGCTAATGAAACTTACCAAGAGATGCTAACTGCTGCTTCTTCCCAGACCCTGGTGGCCGCCCTCTACCTCGCTTTGGTGTTGATGTTACCATCCCGGGATTAGCAGATGATGAAGGAGACAATGCCAATGAAACAGTCCCATCAGGTCCATATTTCCGAGGTCTTCCTCTTTTCCTTTTCACAGGTTCACCTGGTGGCAGCATAGATGGTGCACCCACATTGACACCATGAGGTGTAATAGCTGAAGAAGGCTCTATCGGTAATGTTGAACCAATGTTACCGCCCCCAAGATTGGATTGAAATGCTGTGTTTGGATTAGATAAGGGATGAATGCCTTGTGATCCATGTAAACCAGACTGTGTTAGTCCTCTTGATGTAAAGTAAGAGGCTGACCCTGATAATGCCATAGGGTCCCTCCGATCCATGCATTTATTCAGCTATCTTTCAAAAGAAACTCTGACCCCAACCTTGCAACCCAATGCAAAATGTCTCCTCCTGCTCTAACATTCACTACTCGGTACAAAGACAAGCTCTACAGAGAAGCACAAAATTCAGAAGAATGTGACACAATTTGCAAATACTAGACAAGAATCCTTCAGGAAATTGAATGTAGACTCTGCTTTTAAACTCGAATATCTACAACAAAAAAGTCTTATGAAATAGTAATAAGCATTTTTAGATTGAAAAGTTCTCCTTCTAGGCAAATACATTGTTTAAAGAACTGCAACATTTTACATGTGTTCAAGAATGGAGCATAACAAAATCCATATCTTGATACCAAAGTTCACAGATGAAGCTTTTCAAAACTATATATGAAATTAAAAACTAAGAGAAACAGAAGGAACTTCGTAGACCTTCGGATGCTAAAGAAAGAACTATGAAAAGCAAAAGCAAAAACAAAATTATGCAAAATACTAAAGGGAACTGAATTAGAGCAAAAGGCAAAACTTTTAGCAACCAAGAAAGCAAGAGAAAAAGAAGTTCAAAGTTCAAAGGCTAATAATATTAATAAGTTAGAGAAAAGACAAAGACGGAAGCTACTTTTACAGCTTACCAAACCAAGGGAAACAACAAAAAGGCTTCATGCCGAAGGCAAAGAACAGAGAGACTGAAACAGGTCCACTGTCACCAACCCATTATAAAGCCTTTGACACCAAGCATCTTCAAAGGCAACCCCATAACCATATACACACAAAGCTCAACTCTTCAAGTTCAACCTTCAACACCACCCCTCTCCAAAAACTTACAGTAAAAGAAAAAAGACCACAATTTAAGTCAATGCCAATATATATGCCACAACAAACTCAAACCCAGTTCTTGTTTAGCACCACAAAGTGTGAGGAAGCAAAAGATAACCCAAGAAGTAAACAGGCAAAAAAGACACAGTCAAAGTGGCATTTTTCAAACAGGTTAAAGGTCAGACTGTTTTGCACTCTCTCTGTGCTTCTCTAGGTCTATGACTAAGAAAAGGGTAGGAACTTTGAATGTGTAGGAGAGAGAGACCGAGAGGAAAAGAGAGATTTTTTAAAGGGCATTAAAGGTCGAACAGTTTTTTGGGAAATGCACAAAGGAGGAGGTCATTTGGCGTGCGAAAGAGAGCGGTATTTACTACTGGGTTTAGCACAAGTCCTTATCTGAATGCATTTCTCTAGGATGAAGTTTACTCTCTGAGAAAAAGCTGCTTATCTTTCTCTCTCTCGTGTTTGTGACACAAGTGGAAGTGGGTGATGATCCTTGCTTTGCTTTGCTTTGCTTTCCCTTATTGGACTATTCATGGGATAGAGTTTGAGAAGCAAACAAAAACTTGACAGAAAAAGCACTTCTTCTTTGGATAATACCAATATTTTATTTATTTTTTCCTACATTTATAGATTTTCCTTTTTTCTTATTATATTTATAAGGATTTTCTTTAAAATTAATTTTGGATATGTATAACCCTTTGAGGTTGGGTATGTTAAGGAACTCTATCCTACGCGCAGATAAGGGCGTGCGATACATGTGCCTTAGCCTATGTTGTATTGTATCCTATGGAGATATCTATATGAAGTTCTACACCACCCGTTAATTAGGTGTGCGACTCGAGTCGGGTCAACCCAAATATGCCCGAGTTCAACCCGACTTTTTAATACGGGTAGGTAGATTAGAATTAGGTAAACTCCCGTTCAAACTTAACTCCACCTTAGTTTGATCATTTTTAAATATTGTTAACACATGAAAATATAACAAATAATTTGATATTTAAGTTAAACACTCATAAAATTTATTTAATGAATCTCGACAGTTAACACTCATAAAGTTTGTTAATAACTTGCAAATGATGGTTTCTTCTCTCTTAATTTGGATCTCATTGCCACATCTCGTCGAAATTGATCTAATTAAACTGATTTCTCAATAAATTGGCCACAGTCAGTGGACGTTTTGAATGATTCATCATCAGTCTTTAAAAATGGTTCACTGATGATGAAAATTCAATTGCTAAGGGCTCGTTTGGGAATGCTTCTTCTTGAAGCGCTTATGCTAGTAACGCTTATGTCATAAGCACTTCTACAAAAAAGTAGTTTGTCTTTTGGATGTCATATTTAAAAGTACTTTTACACTACATAAAAAGCATTTTTGATATTTTATTGAGTGTTTAGCTGACACAATAAAAGGTTACCTTGAGTCTTCTTTTCTGTTCTCATCTTTTTCTCTTGAGTCTTTTAGGTTGACATCTGGTTCAATGTATTTGTGTTGTTTCAATTTTTCTTAATACAGTTCTGCCTCCTGTTAACAAAGGATAAAATATAAAATATTGAGGAACAGAATACGTTTTCCACAAGCTGGAAGTTGGCTTCAGGCATATATGCTGCTGCTATCTTCCTTCGTTGGTTCACTGTGTAGCGTGAATTTTTTTACTTTTCATTTGTCTTTTCCTGTTGAATATATATATTATTCTTCCAGTGTTCGAGAAATTTTTTTTCCAATTAATATTGGAAAGGGCATTCAATTTTACTGAAATTTAAAGTTTTGTATACAAAATTCAGAATTTTACAACTGATTAAATCCATGTCTTCCATTTCAGAGTGCCTTTCCATAGCTTATGCAAACGCACTGGATTTAAGTAATATGAGAGAAAAAAGAAAGAAATGGTATTTTGGAATTTTAAAAAAATAAAATATGGGTATTTTTGGCATTTTAAAAGTTTTATTAAAGCGAGCCAAGTGCTTCCCATGTTTTTGTCCTGCAACGCTTTTAAGAAGAAGCACCTCTCAAGTGCTTCTTCCAAAACCACTCCAACTGTTTTTAGATCTCACCCAAAGTGCTTTTGCTATTTTTGCCAAACACCATTTTTAAAAGACAAAAGCACTTTTACCCATTTAGAAGCGTTTTTCGCTGCTCCAAAAGCATTCCCAAACGAGCCCTAAGTTTAACTAGAATCCAAATTGAACAGCACCCAACACAACCCTGTTGTGAATGGAATATAACATAGTTGTATATATTGGGGGATTAGAGATGGCCCTCCTCCCCTCTTGAATAATGGACCAATGCATGTCAAACTTACATATCTACACACACATTCTATCCACTATCCATTATGACAGGCTACGCATCTCTGAAGAGCGTGAGAGGCATCAAAGTAGCAAGTAGCCGTTGTCATTCAAAGGTGACCCCACTGAAAATGGGTTTGGGCCCCACGGTAGAGGGTGACTTGGTTTGCATGTGAGTCTATCTGAGTGTATGTATGACTTGTCTCTCTCCCCCCACCACTTTCCAGGCCCTACATATTAAACTTTAGAAAAATATCTACAATTACAAGAGCACTGATATTCTCACCTAGCTGTGGGAGCTGTAGCTATAAAGTCTACCTTTAGAACTTATATGAGTACTTGTCTCATATTGTCTGTTGAATACAGGGTCTGAGCAAAATGCAAGTGTATGTTCATCAACCCTAAGGCTTCTCAAGTTATTGTAGATGCAACATTTGGTATACCATTTGTATACTTTTTAATTCCCGATTGATTAACACGGTCAATCTAAGAGACGTCAAATGAATCATGAATCGAATTTAGAATTCTCTCTTTATCAATGTGAATCAAATGTTCTTTAAGCTATCGAACATTAATTAAAGGATTACCAAGTAATTAACATATATAAAAAGGCTTATTAGCCCTAATTGCACACTAGAAAACCTATGTGGAGCATCATAATAGAGTGAACAAAGTCAAACTTAAGTTCAATTAGAGGAGTGCACATCAAGTTCAAAGTCAAGGAGCTGCTTTTTCCATCTGCATATTAGAATAATGGCACAAATAAAAACATGTTGGAAAACAGATGATGCTTCATTCCATGCATCCAATCCAATAAAATATATTGAGAGACTAAATTTTATATTAGATATTTGGATTGGATAGTTGCATAGATTATGGAGATCTCTTTGTTTGGTCCAGCATTGGATCATCAACTCCAAAAGTGGAAGTACCTTGAACTCTGTTTTCAGAAAATTTCCCAATATTTTATATTATAGGGAGGCCACTTTGTTCTGGTGCTTGCCCAATTAAGATTTTTCAGTGGGCCAGTGCGTTATAGGTGTCGTTTTCAACATCAATCATCAATTTCAGAAATTGCTATAATAATAAAAATGTCAGTACACCATGTTGGATTTTTTTTTTCCTGATAACATTTTATGTTGAGTAGTACTTGCAAATTTGTAGGTTTTCCCACTGTACTAGGGAAAAAAAAATATCCTTAGTAATTGAATAGCATCTAAACACATGAAGCAAAGAAATGTTTTCAAGATAAAAGACTTGAATTTGACATTGTACGTAACTCATTTAAAATAGAGTAAGTTGCAAGGTTGATAAGATTTTATATTAGGAGGGGCGGTAATATACAAAATTTGCACGCACTACACGGATAGTAGGACTCGAATCCAGGACATTTTCTAGGAGATAGAAATTTTTTTAAAGCAGCATTGCTTTAGAATATATGGAATCAATTTTATGAATATGATGATCCAATTGTTCATTTTTTTAAAAAAAAATTTAAAAACAAGAAACAAATCACTTTCCTGAACATCCATTCTCTCCCAAATGAGAAAGGAATATTTGAGAGGGAAAATGACCTAAGAGTTAAAAAGCAGAGAGTATGTTGGTTGGTGGAGCTACCCTCAACCTATAGTTGTTGAAGAATAACTTGTAGGTATTTGGGTGAAATAATTATTATTAAAAAAAAAGGGAAATTACAATAATGTTGTGTTTGACTAGGAAGTTGTACTTGCTATTTATTGGTAACCATGTCTTTTTCTTTAGCTAGTTTCTACATTTTGGACAGCAGAAGAGTTACTGTCCATGGAGAAATGGTCAAATGAAAGAGGGCACACCAGACATTACCAAATCTTTTATTGGCAACAAAGCAAATAAATCAAAGCATATTTCAAAAGAAATCTGACTGTCATGATTATATCTCAACACAAGTCACCTAAAGCAGCTAGTCCGTCGGTGCACAATGAAAGATGCAATGTTTTCACCAAAATGCCACTACTGGCAGTTTTTGTTTCATGAGAATATGTAAGTTTTATATTACATTTGTAGCCTATTTTTTTGATAGTGTAAGTTTTTTATACAGTGGTTGTCTATCATGGTATTAGAGTCTGTTTATGAGTAAAATAAATTTAGGCATCAACAGAGTCTTTTTTTGCAAGTAGTCATGAGTTCGATTCATGTTTACGCACTACTTTGCTGGTTTGCAAGGTGTAGAGTAGGGCTACATTTATATGTTTGCCTCTCTCCCCCTATTGATCTACCTCTCTATGTGTAAGATGACTTGCACGTGAGGAAACGTAAGTTTAATATACATTATTAGCTCATTCTCTGATAACATAAGCTTTTGCAACTAGTGGTTGTGTAATAGTGTAAGATCTGCATACTTGGAAATAAGTACGAGAACATTTTCCATTGTATGTTTAGCAAGTGCAAACTCGAAAGATTATTTGGCAATTCTTAATGCAGAATGTTTTTGTTTGTTGATTTCAAAACCACTGGGGCATAATTTCTGCAACTTAATTCAAATTTGTATAAGAAAAGTAAACAGAACTAAAATGAAAACAGAGATGTTTAACGAGTGGGAAAATTTCAGAGGAAAAGGGCAAAAGGGAGAGTATAGCCGTGCTTCAATTGGTAATTGCTCAACATAGATGGTGGTGCTTCGCTCCAGATCTGCCGAAGAGAATCTCCTACCTTTCAAGTATTCTCTACAAAATTATAATTGCTCCTACAAGCAAAGGTCCGAGACACCAGATTTCTATACAAGATCAAGCTACTGGGTTGCCATTTGCAAATCAAGTTCAACCAAGACCGAATCTCACCTCTTAAGCCAAATTCAACTCAACTCAAGCTCTATCCTGAGAATAGTTAGTCTTGGTGTACTTGGTGTCCTAAACATAACACTCTGACCTATCCAAATCCATGCTCTCCACTGCAACCTTCATGATCAATACCAAAGTGGAAGACGTGCCAATCTTCCCATCGGGGCGGCAAGCAATTTGAATGTAGGGATACAATCTTTGCCAAGGCACGGCTCCTATAGAAAACGGAAATAAAAACAATACAGGATACCCTTTGGTCCCTGATAGGAAAAATGATTAATCTTGTGATTAATCAACCTAATTATCAGAAAATTTCCATCAACTACATACTCCATAGCACCTAAATTCAGGGAGCCAGAAATGAAGGTTTAAGTCCATTCAATAAAAGAACCATTTGAGGAAAAATATATCGAAAGACGTTACACAGAAAAACTCCGCTAGAAGATTAAATTCTCAACCAGATGAGAAGGTTGTCTCGTTGATGGCTAAAACATTCAAAAAAAACAAAAAGTTCATCAGTTCCAATTGATCTCTAATCAGAGTCAGGCTATTAAATCACAATCTTCACTTTTTAAAGACAAATACACAGGGCATTTTCAAGATGATTATCTGTCTTTGCTCTTGATCACCCTCCACATTCTAACTACTAAGCCACACTACGCATTAGGACACGGGTAAGCATAATGTTTTGGTATTGTCTTCACAACCCAAAGTTTCCAACTAAAATGAGACATCATCTTTGTAAGCAAATTGATTGGAGCAAAAGAGCAGCAACATTAGAGAAACCTAAATTACACATTAAAAGGAAAATTCAAAACCATTCCTTTGAATACTTCTTAACATACACAGACAAGCATTGCAATTGAACCTTATTTGTCAACCTCCATTGCTTGGGCAGCTTTAGCTTTTGCAGTCGCTGTCAGTTTGGTCTTCAATTTCCTCTTGCCAACTTGAAACCCACCTTTCTTGTTCTTGCCACTGCCATCAACCTGGAGCATATAATTTGGTCAAAAAACAAACTTTCCTTTATTTTTTATTTATAAAAAAACTACATAAATCTTAAGATGACTGAATAATATAACATAATGAAAATCAACAGTCAACAGATGGGAAGAAAGCCCAAAAAAATTAAAATTGTAAACATTAAATGCAAGCTTAAGGCCAGTAGGCAACCTTTTTCACTTCAGTTGAGCTAAGCTACATCTAAAGAGAGGGAAAACTTACTTTCATCTTGCTCTTCTTTGCTTGAAGCTTCTGTGCCTTCTTTTCTCTTTCTTCTTTCTCTCCTAATTAATTACCAAACAAATTTGAAACTTGTAAACACTACATGACATATAGGTATCCAGAGAAAGAGAGAGAGAGAGGCTTGCTTACTTTTGAGTTCGAATTCGTGCTGCCTTTTTCGACGAGCAAGATCGTTCTTTTTCGACATTCTTCTCGCGCAGCTCTGAATCGCCGGGAACCCCTCTGGTTTTGGCTTTCACTTTCCTTCTTCAAAATCTTCGGAGAAAATTGACTAAAACCCTAAACCTAGTCAGATGTTCAGGAGAGAGAAAATATTAAAATAATTTCTTAATTATATTTTTTCAGTTTTCCAAATAATATTTTCCGGGCTTTCTTCTTCGGCCCAAATAACTTAAAGCTTCTTGGGCTGTGAAAAATTGATTTTTCTGGGCCGTGAGTGATTTAAAACGAAATAAAAAGCAATAATATACGGAAAATTACCAAGCTTTTCATAGCTTCGGCTTCCTGGGTCAGTTAGGAAGCTTTTGCTTACTGGGTTCTGGGTTTTGGAATCTGGGTCCTGCTCAAGTTGGCTCAGGTACAAGTACTTCCTTCTTCACCTTCAAAGTCTCGGCCTTGCAGATACTCTGATATCCGAAGGGAAGATTATCAAACCGGAGACACAGAAATCAACCCATTAATCAGGTACCTAAGGAGACCGAATCAACTTTCGTTCTCTGGAAATTTACGGTCTGGTTCTAGTTTTTGCTGAGATAATTTTCGATTTTCCTATTTGGGGTTCTATTGATTGTATTGAAATGTGCCTCTAATGTCATTCCCTCATCTGGGTCCCATCGAATTCTGTCGAGTTCTATGATTATTCAAGGGGTATATTTGGTTTTCAGGCTATGATCTTTTGGGATGCTCAGAAAGATAGGTGGCAATTGGAAATTAGGTTTAAAACTGAGAACTTTGAGTTGTTTTCTATCTGGGTTATGAGTTTCAGGATTTTCTGCTTAGTTTTGCCTAAAAAAGAATTACAGTATCACTTAGTTGGGTTGATTTACGAGGATTGCATACTCTTAAGCTTACAATCAAGGCGTTAATGCTCTTGTAATGGCACTTGCATTTGTCTGGAACCTTCAAAATCTCTGGCCCTTTTCGATACTCAAATCCGATGACCTGAAAGTATCTAATGAATTAGTACGCAAACTACCAATACCTGAACACACGAAACAGTTTGTTTACGCCGTTCGGGAGCCTGAAACTCAGTCTGTAATTTACATACTTTCTGCTCAAAGTTTATCAGAGGGGTCAGCATTGGATGCTGATTGTCTTATTAGGGAGGTTAGACCTGATGCTGTTATTTCCCAGGTGGGTCTTTCAACTGTGACTGAAATTCAATCTGAAGAGACTGTATTAAGAGATGGTTTTGACAACTCAGTTCCCACTTCGTCATTTAAAGTTCTCAAAAGATGTTTTCTGGAGAAGGTTAATAAGGAGAAGTATGAGGATATTGCAGGAAACTTGGTTTTACAAGAGATCTTTGGGGTTGGTTTTCATGGACACTTTTTGGTAGCCAAAAAGGTGGCTCAGGAGGTTGGGTCTTCATTCTTGGTGCTTGAATTGCCATTTGTAAAATGTTCTGGTGGGGAGAATGCCTCAGGTGAACATGAAGCAGTGAGCAAGTTCCAAGGTTTAGCTAGTAGTTTGGTTCCACAGAAAGTTGGTTCAGTTGCTTCGGTAAGTCCGTCAAGGTTTTGCATAACCAATGATGTTCATTCACAGATGGTTAAGTTATTATCTCCACATATTGATTTATCAATATCAAGGCTAAGTCCATCGACTTCTGTTTCTGAGGTGGGGGCAAAAGAAATTCAGCTGCAATCCAGTTATGAGGCCCCACAATTTGCTCAATCAATTTATCCATTTCTTGTGGATCTGCATAATATTTTTGCTGATATCCCATCATGGGAAAGGCTCTAGCTTGTGCACAAAGGATGTTTTATGATGTGAAAAGAGGTGAAGCTGTAGATACCAAAGTTATATCTGAAGTCTATGCCTTCCGGATTGCAGTTGAGGGCCTAAGAATCTCTATGAACAATGCTGGTCGGCTTCCCAGTAATAAAATAAGGAATCCGAACTTAAATAAGATCGATTTTTCTGAGCTTCCAGTTGAGGACAAGTCATATGCTCTCTTTGTTCAGGCCCTTCGCAGCCAGACTAAGAAGTTCAAGACTATAGTGGCAGTAGTGGATGCTAGTGGCTTGGCAGGTCTTAGAAAACACTGGAACACCCCTGTTCCTCTGGAGGTCAAGGATTTGGTTGGACAGCTTGTTACTAATTGTGAAGGCGAAGGGGAGATGTCAAACGATACTGATAGGAAGCGGCTAATAACTAATAAACCTTTGGTGGCAGTAGGGGCAGGGGCAACAGCAGTTTTAGGAGCCTCTTCGTTCTCAAAAGCTGTGACACTCAAAGTTCCTGCTTCAACCTTTATGAAAGTTTTGACACTCAAAGTTCCTGCTTCACTTAAACTCTTTCTAAGCCAAACCCATAAGACAGTGGGAATTGCCCTTAGTAAGACCCTTGGCCCATCAAAAGTGGTAGCTCCAGGTTTTATGAGTTCTGGAGTCAAATCAACATCTATATTGAAAGCAACTGCTTCTGCTGAGAAGATCCGAGCAGCTGCCCATAGTGTTATAGCTGCTGCTGAGAAGACGAGCTTTTCAGCCATGAGAACTGCATTCTATCAAATAATGAGGAAACGGCAGCTCCAGAAAATCGGTGTCCTACCATGGGCTACATTTGGGTGTAGTATGGCAACTTGTGCCGGGTTGGTTGCATATGGAGATGGGATTGAATGTGCTGCTGAATCTCTACCTGCAGCTCCATCAATTGCCAGTTTGGGTCGTGGGATTCAAAATTTACACCTGGCATCTCAGGAAGTGGCACAGAGAGATAGCACCAGATTACAAAAATCGATTGAATACCTCATGTACAGGTTTAAGAAAGTCAGAACTCAGTAGTGAGAATGCAATTCTTATCTTATTTGCATAATAGTGGATGTTCTATACAAAGTGGTTGATGGCGAAAAGATGGACTTCATGTAAAAGAAAGAAAAGAGTGTCGAGAGCAGGGGTTCTTCATATCATCATTTTTAGTTTTTTCTGCTTCTGTTTTGGGACTCTTTTCTAGAAATAGAAACAAATTTTGCAGAAACTTTTCCTTGCTTATTGTAAATATTCAGAGTTCTTTTGAGTGCAGTTAGATGAAAAGTGAAAGAAAATGAATATATTCATATATGAACGAACAAAGATTTGTAGCTATATAGGTTTGAGCAAGGTTGAATTTTGTCATATGCTTCTACAACAAATTGGCTCTCTTTTTTCTCCAATACAGGCAGCTTGAATTTTGTCTATGGGCTTGTAACAGTGGGACATACTATGGGGCACTTTCTTTGTTATTTTTGTTTTTGTTTTTAATTTTAAGAGCGTTTGGTTTTTTTAACTTAACTATTATTTTGAGACATAAAATCTTAATTTAAAAAGTTGAATTATATATCTTTTACCTGGATAAAAATGTCTGATTAGATTTTTATTTCCTATCTCACTTTTTTCAATGCTCCCAAAACCTAGCACTCACTTCTCTTTCACACCCTTGGTAACCCATATGTGTTATATTTCTAATTATAGGTTAATTGGTGAAGGTGGTGTGCCCGTCCCCTAACACTTTAGTTGGTGTGCTTGTTTTCTTACACTCAAGTTCGACCTCCCTCTTCGTCTATTAGAGTAGTTTAGAATATATTTTTAAAAACCTATATAAAAATTTCACTCTGATGTTGATTGGGCTCTCAAAGAGGCCGACATGGATCCTAATTAAATCGTCAGAAATTTGTCAATCAAGGTGACTTCACTCTTCCTTTGACTTTGTTAATGGCTGCTTCTCTTTGTTTTTAGGGCTTTTTGCTCTGCTTTGGGAGATTCATATATATATATTTCTCCATTATGTCTGATTTTTGTTAGGCAACCAGGTGCTGAGGGTGTTCAGTGTTCCAATTTTTTCATACTAGATAATTTGTCCACGTGCTTCAAATATCTGTTGTGCACGTTTGGTTTCCAAAAAACAAAAAACAAAAACAAAAACAAAAATAAAATCTACAAAATAAAACATTTGATTGATGAATTCTCTTTGCACATGTCATAACATAATTGAACGACATATTACATATTTCTCACTTTATTTGTAACAACATATTTCTAACGTTTATAACATAGTACTACTAAATATTCATTTATATTATAACACATCACGTTAGTCTAGTAACTCCTATACTAACTCCAAAAGTGATATGAAGCTGAAAATTTCATTAAAATATTGCCTTTTGAATTGTAAAAGAACATTTGTATTAACCTCTGTTTATTATTATTTTTTCTATAGCAATACAATTTTAATGTAGTTTGTGTGCCATAAAAACCACGGAGTACCCTTTATAAATTCTATATCCAAACGGCGCCGTAAGCTGATCTTCAACAACAATAATTAAAGCAGGCGAAAGAGAAATGATTATGGCGGAAGCGATGGGGCAGAAGATGATGAGAAGTCTTCGCTTGTGTTGGCCGTTGGCCCCATTCAATACCACACAACACAATTCAATTCAATCTCTCCACCAACAAAATCCAAGACCATTGGCGGTGGAATTTAAAAAAATTCAAAGCAAATAATAGACCCAGCTAATCAAAAGTACAGAGGAAGAAAATTAAGCTGGTCTAATTCTTCACATTAAATTATCAAAGAATGATTTTTATTGTTTCTTAATTTAATATCCTTTGACTCATGATATGGTTTGAATAGATTAATGATAGATTTGCTTGTTTATGACAATTATATAAAAAACAAAAACAAATACTATTGCAAACCACCGAGCTTTTTTATTCCCTCTTCTTATATTCTACACGGATCTTGAGCTGTTTCAGACTTCTTTTTTTTTTTTTTTTTCTTTCTTCTGGATTGGGGTTTTGTTTAATCGTTTATTTCTTTGCTTTGAGGCAAAAGCTTGGATCTTTCAAGGGTTCTGCTTTGATCGGAAAGGGAATATTTGATTGGCTGAAAGAGACCCAGAAGAGGGTTTTAAACATTGGGGAAGAAGCTTAAAGGTTTTAGAGCTTTTTGGGGTCAACTGGGAAGCCTTTTGCTTACTGGGTTTTTGGTGTTTAGTAGCTTTCTGGATCAGCTGGGAAGCTTTTGCCCACTGGGTTTTGGGTTTTAGTATCTGGGTCCTGCTGTTTTTTTTTCCTCTGATTTCAGCGTCGCCAAATTGATTCAGGTACTGAACGAACTTTTAAAGCTGCAGTTAAGTTGCTATTAACATGTCATTCTCATTTCATTTGGCTTTGAGCATTTATTGTTCATTAAATTATGAATTAGTACTATTTGGTAGGATAGATAGAAAATGCTAATGGCCAACGCAATCATAATGTTTTCTGATAAGAATGAAAGGAAAAGGAAAATAAAAGTAATCTAAATTAGTTTGTAGCATTCAGTTCGGGTTGGTTTACTGCCTAACAGTAAACAGAATTTTTAACCAAGAAATTGTGTATGTAGTCCAAACAAATCTCTGCTAGTACCTGTTTCTCTCCCTCTCTACTTTTCGTGCTGCTTGAGTTTGCTTGAGTTTCTGCTTTCATCACATTTCTAATTCAATGTTCCTACAAAATTAATGAATCAGGTATTTCTGTTCGGACCAATTTAGCTTCATTGGAGCATTTGTCCCACTTGAAAAGCAGTAAAGTTGATCTAGTTAGCATGAAGCCAGATGAACCTAAATTTACGTGATCTTCATTTTGTTTAGAGACACAGTTTCACAAGGGATAGTTTAAGTTGATACTGTGACATTGACATGGGGTGTCAATGCTCCAAACTCATACCATGTTTGCTGGAATTCACAATTCAAGGCAGCGGTTCTTGAAGCTCCTGACATTGGTGGGTTAATTATATGTCCTTTTTTGTGTGTGTGGTGTTTGTTTTAATGGAGAAGCGGATCATATCTGATGCTTGTGGATTGTTGCCCTTATTGCAGATAATGAGGAGAAGAGCGATGTTGATTACTTGCCTACATTTTGTGAATTCACATTTGAGCAACTTAAAAATGCGACATCTGGTTTTGCAGTGGAGTACATTGTGTCTGAGCATGGAGAGAAGGCTCCAAATGTTGTTTATAAAGGGAAACTGGAAAATCAGAGGAGAATTGCTGTTAAGCGCTTCAATAGGATGGCCTGGCCTGATGCTCGGCAGTTTTTGGTAGACAGCTTTTAACTTGATTTCTTTTTCTTCTATGGTTTCTCGAATTACTTTCATCCAAACCATTAACATGGTATTTTTCAATTTCATAAAACTCTTAGTCAGCACATAGGTGACCAGAATTGGTGTATGTTGTCTGCACAACTATTGTTTTTATCTTTATGTTCTAAACCGATGTAATTTTCTGTTGAGATAATATGGGTTGAAATTTGGGTCGTAGACTACGTTTGGCAGATAATATTCACAAAATGCAGTGCTGTATTTCTCTGACTGTGAAGTCCATTTCTTTTGGGCCATATTTATTACCTCATCATATTGTTTTACCAGCTCCATTGAAAGAAGGCATTTTCTGTCTTCTCTATTCTATGACCACTTTTGTGAGACGATTTGATTTTCCAAAACTGCAGGAGGAAGCAAGATTGGTTGGTCAGCTCCGCAACCAGAGATTGGTCAATTTGCTTGGTTGCTGTTGTGAAGATGATGAGAGGTTGCTTGTGGGCTGAATACATGCCCAATGAAACACTTGCGAAACATCTTTTTCATTGTAAGGTTTAGTTCTTAAGTTTATATGAGGCTTACTCTTCTAACTTGCACTCATTTTTTCAATTAGTGGATACCTGATCCATTTGGTCCTGCAATTGCCTCTGGATAATAGTTCCATTTTTCTTACTCATGACTTACCATGGACTTCATTTGGAATGGGACATAATAAGATATTAGGCATCATATTTATTTTAGTAATGATGACCACATATTACATTAGAAATTCAAAATATAATTGTCTCGCTTAATTTCTCACATTTCCACCCTGAATTTTGTAGTACCGAATGCTACTTGAGAGTTTATATTGGTATTGGTATGAGTATCTACATGATACAATGGTTGCTAGTGTGACCTTTTTATTGGTGGTTTTTCATTCTAGGTTTTTACCCCCTCCCTGTCTGGCATTAGAATATATATATATATATTTTTTTATACTATTAGACAGAAGTTAAGGAAAAATACCCTATGTGGTCTTGTTTCAGTTATAGTATCTTTTCTTATTTTGCTAAATTATCTAGTTAATTGCATGGATGCATCACCTGTTGAGTACTGTGCTAATGTTCTGTGGAGATTAACTTTATTGCTTTATTGAATCAGGGGAAACACAGCCTATGAAATGGGCAATGCGATTGAGGGTTGTTTTACATCTCGCACAGGCTCTAGAGTACTGCACAAGCAAAGGGCGTGCCCTTTATCATGACCTTAATGCTTACAGAATTTTATTTGATGAGGTAACTATTTATTAACTCCATCTGTTCGGTAACATTTTTCTTTTATGTATATTCCGCTTGCATTCCTTGATTTTATGTATTATAATTTTGCAGGATGGAAATCCTAGAATATCTACCTTTGGCCTCATGAAAAATAGTAGGGATGGGAAGAGTTATAGTACAAATCTGGCATTTACTCCTCCTGAATATCTTAGAACTGGTATGTAGCTCCTAGAAAGCAGGCAATGTTTTTTCTCCAAACAAGGCTCATTTAAGTTTATGATTATCTTGACAGCTGCATGGTTTAGCTATTTAAGGTAATAAAGTCATATTCTTGTTTGGTATTTGATAATAACTTGGAATGTCCTTGTTAACAAGCATCCAAAGCAGATGTAAATGGTCTTCCGACCATGGTAGACTAACTAGCCTTAATTATCAAATACATTAACAATTTACTTTCCAGAATAGTTTCTTTTGTTGGAATGGCAGATCTGTCTTCGTGAAAATTTGTCTCATCATCAGATTTATTTTCTCCTGATTTGTAAAAAGGAGTTCAATATGGAAATGTCGGTGCTGAGACAATTACTCTTGATGTGGATGCAGTTCAGCAATTATTGTACACTGAACAGGCATACTCCTTTTGATATATAATGTTTTGGAATTATAGGGTGAGCGCCGTTAAGTCTTTTCACCCCAAACTGATCCCTCTCAATATCTTTCTATAAAGTATTGGTTGATCATATTTTTCCTTAAATATCATGTGGTGGTGCTGATTTGGAGTCTCCATGTTTATTTGCAATTGTATTCATGATTTAAGATCTGACTGCTATTGGCATCTCACAACGTACAGTAATTACTCATTGGTTTGCAAGATAAGTCTATGACTTTGCTTCACGTCCCTTGTCATGCAGGGAGAGTAACACCAGAAAGTGTAATATATAGCTTTGGGACTCTTTTGCTTGATCTTCTCAGTGGAAAGCATATTCCCCCTAGCCATGTGAGTAATTTCTTGAGTGGTAAAAGGGAACAAAATAGAGAAATAAGTGTTAACAGGAAAAGAATATTGTTTCTTGATGTTAAACTTTCTCCCTACACCATAATATTTTTTACTTTCAATTGTTAGGAATTCTGCATCATGATTTCGTCTTCTCAGGTTAAGTGTAAACACTGAAGTAAATTTCTTGACTTGATGACTGATTATTTTGTACCAGGCCCTAGACCTGATTCGGGACAGAAATCTTCAGATGCTGACAGATTCTTGCTTGGAAGGACAGCTTTCTGATGATGCCACTGAGTTGGTACGGTTGGCTTCACGATGTTTACAATCTGAACCCCGAGAGCGACCAAATCCAAAGTCATTAGTTGCTTCTTTGACACCTCTTCAAAAGGAAACTGAGGTCAGTTTTGTGTTTCTCTTATAAAGCATTCGAATTTCAACTAAATCAGGGAGCATCATTTGACCACTTGAAAAGTTGCACAAATAGTTCTAGATCCGCATTTTGTGGCAGTCTTATTTAATGGATATCTTCTTTCCACCGGACTCAATCTGAGCTATTTCTGCAAGCGCAGATCTACCGGATCTTTATTTTTATCGGCAGTGATCGCTTCGACACAGAACCTTTTGACAAGTGGAATATTTGAAAATTTGAGAATGGGACATGACACTCATGTGTTACTAGTTATGTAGGACATAAGAGAGCTACACTTTTGTTCAGTGTCTTTCATGGGTGAGCGATATTCTAGGATGAAGCTTCGAAAATCTGTATCGCCCCAAAACCGAGGGTCATTTTTATAGGGGTTTTAAGGTATTTTGAGTTTATAATCCCTTAAACTCATAGTTACCAACCTCAAAGTTAGGGAGATGGAGAACCACCTTCTATAAGAATATATCTATATGAAAGTCTATGCTTACTTCTTTGGTGTGAATTCAAATCACTAATGATCTGAACCATCTTAGTAGTTCAATTAAATATAGAGGCTTAACATAATGCTGGTATCTGTAGTTCCTTTAAATTTATTTTTTCTTACGACTGCAGGTTCCCTCTTTTGTTTTGATGGGTATTCCAAACAGTACCTGCTGCTCTCCTCTTTCACCACTTGGCGAAGCCTGCTCAAGAAGGGATTTGACTGCTATACATGAGGTCCTAGAGAATATCGGCTATAAAGATGATGGAATGACAAATGAGGTTCTATATTTGTTTAAAATGATGGAGAAATATGAAATTGCCTCTACGTCTGCATATTTAGCCTTCTAGATAGTCTGCTTCTGTATTCATTTTGTGCCTGTGGTTGTCACTGAACTTCTCAGTTGCATATGTTCTGTTGCGACTGTCTGTTGAGTTCTTGCCACTTTTATCTTGTATGCAAAGTACTGTTACTGAAACATTTTCATTTCTCACGTTCCACTGCAGCTCTCGTTTCAAATGTGGACTGACCAAATGCAGGAAACATTAGATTCAAAGAAAAAGGGGGATTCTGCTTTTAAGCAGAAGGACTTTAGAACCACAATTGAGTGTTATTCACAGGTTAAGTTCTTATTGTGATACTGTGGTTGGTTGGTTTCTTTTTGTACTCTTCTCTTGTAGGGAAATTATACTCATTCCAGCTATTAGAATTAGTTTCAGAAATAACAAAATGTGCTTGTAACATCTTATCTGCTAAGTCTTATAGGAACGAGTAAAATTGGTAGTTTATAAACAGTCACAAAATTAGTGAATTTGATCCTAGTAAAGCCTTTGTTGCTACTTTATTTGTATGTGTTACCCTGCTAACAATTTCTTCCACTTGCAGTTCATTGATGTTGGAACCATGGTTTCTCCAACAATTTTTGCCCGGCGTGGTTTGTCTTATCTCATGAATGACATGCCTCAGGAAGCTCTGAACGATGCAATGCAAGCTCAAGTAATTTCCCCAATATGGCACATTGCATCTTATCTTCAGGCTGCTGCCCTTTCTTGGACAATGAAGCACAAGCAGCACTGAAGGAGGGTACTATGCTTGAAGCCAAAAGGAACGCTGCAGCTGCAAAGAAGTGAAAACCAAGGATGAATTTGACACTTCTCAGTTTGGCTCTCAGCACATAGATTTGCTCATAAGGTTTCGAATCACGGAAGTCAAAGCTTCACTCAGTTCCATGATATTAAGATTTTGGTCATTTTCCCCGCGAGATATGTTGTATTTGAGTTCTTTGATTTGATTTTATTTCTTGTCCGTTAAATGTTTCCAGTATATGAATTACTCTGGAAAAATGGAAACAAAAAAAATGTTGTAAACAACAGTGGGAGGAAAAAAGCTTGTAATTTGTGTACAAAATACATAAAAGATTCCTGGTGTATTCTTTCTGATGAAAAACAATGGATACCATTCTCAGTTAGAAAAAAGTTCAAGTTTGACAGCAAAACTATGAGACGGGAGAAAAGAAAAGAAAGAAAATTAGTTGGCTTTCTGTAGTAAATGTTATGATTTAAATACCCTGCAGAAAATAACATTCATGGCAAACAATTGTTCTTACATAATTGCTTACAAACAAAGACAGTAACAAATTAAGGAGTTGAGCAATATTAATCCACTACTTGAAAACTTCTGCAGATATATAGTTGCTTCCATGGCAACTATGCATTCTTCAAGTCAAGTGAAGCATGGATGTTGTCTCCAAAGATGCTGGAGCTGAAGATACAAGTAAAACAAGCACCCGTAAGTTTTGAAAACAGACAGTTAAAGTTAATTACAAAAACCAAATTAAAACAAAAATAGCTAAATTTTATTTAAAAAGAAAAAGAAGAGTTGATGTACTTACAGCTTATCTATTAAGCATATCCTTGAGTTGCCGCTTGATCAAGACTACTTGCGTATCTCCATCACCTCTTGAATATCAAAGTGCCGCAAACTCCCCAAAATCCCCAAAATCCAGCAGCAAACCCAAGCCCCATACTGATGTAAAATCCCAGTGTAATAAGCTCATCCTTATCATCCTCTTGATTGCTCAATTCCGTTTGCACATTTTGATCAACACACAAATTTTTAAGTGGAGGTCCACAGAGTTGATTTCCAGCATAAACAGAGGGATCAAAGCCTTGGAGCTGAGTCTTGATTGGAATTTCGCCAGATAAGTTGTTAAATGACAAGTCCAAGAAACTAAGACGATCAATCCGCGAAAGGCTTGTTGGAATTCTTCCTTCTATCCGTTTTCTTGACAAATCAAGGGCATCCAGTGACTGCAAGTTTCCAATCTCTAGAGTGATTTGACCTGTTAATTGGTTTCCCGACAGGTTTAAAGAAACCAACCCAACAAGATGAGTGATTTCACTTGGAATCTCCCCTGTTAATCTATTTCTTGATAGATCAATTCTCTTCACAAGCCCCAAAGTGTTTTTGTATGAGTGCATTCTTCCTTTCCATATGAATGGCATCATCGTCATAAGCATAATAAGTAAATGAATGTTGATAGTCATAAGAAATTTCATACAAATGTCTGCTGGTTAGATTTGAATTTCCTTTATGAGACAGAGAAGTCAAATTGTTGATGCATGGAGGTATGCTTCCAGAGATGTTCATAGAGAAATCCAAATTTTGAATTCGTATTAGATGGCATAATTGTGAGGGCAGGCTTCCATTGAAGTGATTAGACGAAAGCAGCAGGATAACCAAATTCTTTAAGCTAACCTCTAACCATTCAGGTATTGGTCCGATAATTTATTACGCCCAACATCAATGACTACTAAACTTGTGCAATTCTTCAAGGATGAAGGCCATTGTCCCACAAATCTATTGCTTCTTAATTTGAGTGTTTCAATCTGAAATACGGAGCCTATTGTTGTAGGAATTTTCCCGGACAAAGCATTGTAACTCAAATCAAGCATGACTAGATTTTCCAAATGTGTCAAGCAATCTGGAACTTCTCCAGAAATATTGTTTCTTGAGAGATCAAGAAAGACTAAACCAATAGCTGCACTTGAACACAAGAATGAAATTGACCCTGAAAGTTTATTATAAGAGAGATCCAGATATGAGGCTTTTGATAGAACTGGAATTTGGAGGTCATAAATCCCAACTTTAAATTCTATCAAAATAATCGTCATTTCTAAAATTTGAGAATAACATACCTTTTTTTTGGTCGAATTGAGAATAACATACTTAAAAGCTATTTGGTTAATTGAAATTGTAGAATTTGATGATAAGAAGATTTGTGAAAACTTGTTCCTGAACATGTTCACTGCACAGAAATGGTTTGGAACAATTTTGTACAAACATCTTTATCAAACAAATTCACTTATGCCACAGTGGAAAAGTATGGACATTCACATACAGATGCGACACCAAAGTAGAGCCATATATTTATATAAGATTGGACATGAAAAAGACCACGATTCATCTAACCCTGCTGCGAATTTTTTTTGTTTTTGTTTTTTAGGACCTTTCATGTTAAGAGAGGCGATATCATACTAAACTCACACATACTACACGAATGTTAGGACTCAGACCGAGGACCTTTCTTGGAGGAAACATTTTCTCTAAACCACTACACTAATGAATCTTTTGCAACCCCTGCTATAAATTAAGTTAGACACTAATTATAATTTCCATGATGTAATTAAGTGACTAGATATTGACTTGACTTAAGTAATTGAATTTTCAATTAGTTTGGGTCACACTATATTGATTGCCTTGATAGACAAAAACAAGTTGCATGCTGAAAAGTATACAAATCAGATAATCACTTTTTCTTTTTTCCTTTTTTAATTTTCTCATTTCAATCATTTCTAATTTTATATTGAAGAAAAGTTTTGAGAGTGCGCTAAGTGGAACTTAATTTTTTTTTTTTAATGCATTAATTTGGAGCATATCCTTGCCAATTAAGTTTCAATAATTATTAGATAGTATAGTACCTAATCGAATTTTGGCCCCATATTTCCTCATTTTCTTCCCACACAACTATTAACCTAGACTAGACTTGAGAATTGAGATGATGATTTGCCTTCCAACGCACACCAGACTCCTTCGTACTATTGTCTTGCAGTTGTTGACTCGACTTGACTTGACTTGAGATGGGTTGGTAATGGTGCCCTTTGATGTTTACTCAACCTTTTAAATTTGCCTCCCATCCAAGGCGGGGCACAAGCTACAATTATCTTCTTGCAAATATGGACTTGACTTGAATGAAACATATGTCTACCAACATTATTATTGTACGTATATATTTATTATAAATCTTCCACCAATCATATATTAAAAATGAGATAAATTAATATTACATGCGATGTTACGATTACTCTGAAAAAATTTCTCATATTATAATTGATGATCACAAAATTCTTAAGTAGGAAGGAGTATATTTAGTGTTGAATCTGATCGCTAAAGTTTCGGAGCAAGGAATCCAACTCCACCTTTATTAGAGAGATGGTGTACAATTTGGTATGTAAAGATGGTCTCCCAAGCAATCAAGGCAAAACTACATGGATTATTTGTGACTTTTAGCCAACTCTTCGTGAATAGGGATGGAAACAGATTCCCAATGGGGAATATGGTCCCCAATGTTTGTGTGAAAGGATAATCCTTTATGAATAGGCAAAACTATATTTACTTAGTAATTGATCGGCATAAAGATGGATAAAATCTACAGTTCCTAGCTTATTCATTGAATGATATGCTAAAGAGTATCGAAATCAGATGTGCAAAATCATCCTGGAGGGATATGAGCTTTTCCATTGATTGGATACCATTCTCAGTTAGGAATTTAGTTTAAACGTCTGTGTCTGATTATAATAAATAAGTTATTAGTTATTTGATAAAAAAATGTTTAAGTTTGACAAGATTTTGCATAAGGCTGCAATCTATGAGATGCAGAAAAGAAAAGTACAAAGTTAATTGGCTTTCTGTAAATCTTATGATCTAAAATACTCTGCAGAAATGTTTGGAGAAGTCCCAATCAAGGTCTTACACACAAGACAAGTAACAAATCATTTACCAAAGAAAATTCCCACTACATAATTCCTTACCCAAAAAAAAACAAAAAAAAACACATATTTATCTATATATATATATATTCAAACTATTAAAAATTGTCCTTCATTAAAGAATTTATTAAGTATTGAAACTTTTCAATAAATAAGGATAATCCAGTAAGTTAAATTTTCTTCATATTAAAAAAAAATTCAAATTCAAAATGAAAATAAGAACATGGGTCTTAATTCATGAGACAACTTCTTTTTTCTTCTTTAAAAAAAAAAAAAAAAAAAAAAAAAAAAAAAAAAAAAAAAAAACTAAAAACTAATTACACAGCCAGTATGAATCGAATAAGGAAAATAAAGTGTGTCGTTTAACCAAACTTCACGTCATCGCTTAGATACTTGACTTTAAAGACTTGGGACTCTTTATTTCCACCAAAGCACAATTTTTAAGAAATCACTTTAAAGACTTCAAAGATTTACAATCAAATTCCTAAAAGGATTTTTGTGTTAACATACAGGGACGTTGAGAAGGACTCTAAGAACAATTGGGTGCGGGATTTTAAGGAGGCTTTGGGTAATTACAGAAAGAGATGGTATTTTAATGTGCCACAGTTAATGTGACTTATCTTTACCAAAACCATATTTTTCAAAAGTGACTTATCTTGTTCAAGTGGGATGTTGCTGGTATGCTAAATGAAAAGCACGCACTAATTTTTGGCACCTCCTTTCAACTTGAGATTGGATTATTTCCTATTTAAATGATTTTATATCCTCATAACGTGTTTGACACATTCACACATAGAAAACCAAAACAGATCATACATCTGTTACTAGAAATTAAGTTGGCCACTAATTTCCAAGATGCAAGTGGCCAAAAATTGACTTGAGACTTGAGATTAATGGACAAGAAGACTTGTGGAAATTTCGGGCTTATGGGCTAGGCTTAGGGTCTCTGGTGCAACTTTTGTGAATAGAACTTTAATGGTTAAGCGGGCCCTATGTTAAGGCATTCACGTTGTTGGTCTGGTAAGTGTACTTTGGTCGATTAAAATAACACTATAGCTGGAAAAAATACATAAATGGGAGAAGTTCGAATCAATTGTTCTTACAAGTAATTAAAAATAATACAAAATCATATTTATTCATAGTAAGCATTCCAAATTCACTCATAATCTTCTGTATATATTTGTACATATCTGCAACCTTCAAGACTTCAATTGAAAGTAAACAGATTAAGATAACGGAGCTAATAATATCAAAGTAAACAAATTAATACCCGTCAGTTTCGAGAAAACAATTATGTGCAATTTGAAAATAATTAGGAATTCTTAGATATAGTTCCGTTTCCGGTAGTGCACATCGGATGGAGTCCTCATCCTTCCTCTTATCAATTGAGGTTGAGGTCCACCAAGCCAACTGTGCGGGCAGTTAAGCAAACCTTGCAGCCACTATATTTGAGATATTTACAACATGCCATTGAATGGAAATGGCAAGTCTTTGCAAACACCACCCCCTAAACTTTCGTTTCCACCTACAATGAAACTTTTGGCATTCAATTTATGCTGATTTCACTCCGCACGGATTCAAAACTTTTTAAATTCATTTTTCTTTTATTGCAGCATACATATGGTATGGAAACTATATTAAGGCAGTTGCGGGTATATGGTTATTATGGTACTAATAGATGTGGTTGCCTTTCGTTGTGCTTATGGTTTTGTTTCTAATCTTTCACATGGTGCAACCCACCACAAAGAGGCATGCCTCACATCTGCTCTCATCCTGACGAGTATCGAAATCAGAATGGAAAATCCCATGTACATGTTAAGAAAATTAGAGTATACGAAAATTAGTAGAAAGAATAAAGAGTAAGGTCTTTATTTATAAGTAAGGAAGTCTCACACTTAGTAAATGAAAGTTGGATCAAATGAAAGCCAATCGGGCTTCAAAAATCAATTTGAGCATTGAATATTATATAAATAATATTTAATATTTAATTGTCAATTGGGATGGCATTCATTATACTGAGGCAGCTGCCAATTTTGTCTTTGATAAAATTCAACTGGAGCATTTTCAGATCCACCCTTCCCTATGAAACAAGCATGTCACAGGAGTTTAGACCAATAAATTAATCAGTATACTCAAGTACTGCAGACACATGCATGCAGGTGGAAATGTTTTCGTACTGCAATGATAGTGTTGTACGTTCTAGCAGAAATGGCAATGGCATTCTCATTCTACAAAAATAAAGGTTTCAAAACTTAGTTATAAGTTATAAGTTGACCATCTGGTTTCTGAATTATGATTTTATTTTTCTCTTATGGTTATGGATGAAATTCAATAGTTTCCATGAAAAACGAAGAACCGAGCACACGACCTCAAGTGCAATTATAAATACCTTTAAATACTTAAACTACAAATATTAGTTGCCTTTGAACAATCATCAAGAAAAATGAAATTGGATTAACATTGCTTTTTTTTTTTTGAAGGAAGGATTAAGATTAACATTATTTTGATTTATTGTACTCCACATGAAAATGCTTACTAATATGTTTAAGAGGTTTCTCGACTAGACACTATGCAAAGAATAATGGGTCACCCGAGTTTTAGTCCATAATATGCAAAGGCTCACCAATCCAACTCAACTCAAGAGATAGCGGGTCTAAGGCCCAACTACATATGATTTAAAATTGAGTGTTGCTACTCACACACCCAAGGATTTGGTCACTACAGACTTCACCCGCCACCTACGTGATCTCCCGGTAGCCCTACAATAAGAATATGCTGGCAATCAACACACTAAGCTGATGCACAAGCCCTTTAAATCACAAAACACATCTTTTGTGCCTTTAAAATTCTAAAACTAGTGTATGCATACGTAACATGTTTGGCCATGATGTTAGAGGCTAGACTCTAATAACCAAACATACTTTTGGTGGTGTTTATGGGAAAAAAATAAATTTAAAATAAATTTAGCTCTAGACATGTAACTATTGAATATTTAAGTGTTTTGTATACTTGTATTTTCTATTATGGCCCCCAACTTTACAATTCCCACTTGAATGATTGGACTATCTTCAGGTTTTTTTGTTTGTATATATACTAGGGGTGGGCACGGTTCAGGTTGGACTGGTTTTTGCCTCAAATTAGAATCGATCCAGTACTATTCATCCAGTTTGGTTTGATTTGATTTTAATAAAAAAAATTCAAAAACTATCCGGTTCGGGTTGAACTGGTTCCGGTCCGGTTTCGATTCCGATTCGTTTGTTGATGATGTATTAATTTGTGATGGATCTACTTAGATTATAATTTAGAATGATGGATGAATTATACTTGAATATGCATGATTTGATATTCTAGAAAAAAAGAAAGAAGCGATTTGATTTGAGCAAGTTGTAATAGATTTAGGCTTTAGTTGATGTTTAGGAAAAAAAAATTTGAAATGGGCCTGTTTTAATAGCTCATTTTCAAGCGGAAAAAATTATTTGGGCCAAAGCCCAAAACCGAATAAAGAGCCAGAACTGAACTAGACTCAATTGGGTAGGCCCAACTTGAGTTTTAAACTTTGACCCGATTCGACCCGAGAACCGCCAGTTTAATCAGTTCGGCCCACAGATCATCCAAAATCTGACCCGACCCAAACCATGCCTAGGCCTAGTTCCTTGTAAAGGTGAGACACTCAGCCCGCGCTTAATTTGGCTATACACGGGGGCCACGGTAGGGTTATTATAGAAAAGGTTTTAGTGGATGGACTCGGTGGAAAAGTTAGCATGGATTCCTAGAAATTTGAATTGTGCGGCTCAAGTAGCGGCAAAGATTGGTTTGGGAGCGGCAGAGCTGCAAAGCTGGGCTAATCAGCCACCACCTTCTTTAGTTCACGTTCTGGAGTCGGATGGGCTACTGTGCCCACCTTTCTAATTGTACCTGTTTGGTCAGGAAGATTCTTTTTGCTAAACATATGTTGGGTTGTATTAGCTAGAATTTTCCTGAATTTGTTTTCTAATTTAGTTTGCTTCTCCCTGTAATCTGTTCCTCAAGTTTTGGGTTTTTTAATGCATTTCTCTGATTACGAAACCACCCCCCCCCCCAAAAAGCACACTCAGGTGCAAACAAGTCAAGATGAAAGATAATGTTAAAGTGCATTTCCCAGACTAGCAATCCTTCATTTATGGGATTGAACTCAAATTCCATTGGTTTATTCAATAAGAAGCAATACAGTAATTCATAGGTCTACATTCATAGAAAAAAAAAAAAAAAAAAAAAAAAAAAAAAAAAAAAAAAAAAAAAAAACCTTGAATCACAGAAAAACCATGAGGTGCATCAGAACATACCAAATAGTTCATGGTAGAAGTTCCAATTACAAATAATGGTACAACTTATTTACTAAAGATGTTTTATATTTCAAAGAGATCCTTTATCATCACTCAAATACTTGAAAGCTAGTACAAATATAGGAGCAGTCCTTCGTCGCGGGCATCTTCAATTGAAGGGAAGCATGTCGTCTTAAAAGTGTCTGTCTGCGCTAAAGACGAAGGTAAACAACCCATAAGATTGAGAAAGATAAATCACATAAACCATATGAGTCTAATGACGATAACAAGTGAACAAAATAACGCATGTTCCTTTTATATTATAAAAGGAGAGAATCCTTAGTTTTGGAGGGCAACAAAGTCATTTAGTGTCTTGATTCTGTAAAATCTGCATGCATATTTGGGGTCAAGAACAACTAACTTGTATATCATTGAATTTCATAAATAGTATGTGAGGAAGATAGTAGGAATTACCACAATTTATCTATTAAGCATCCTTTGCATGGTGATTGCTGCCTTCACGTGCAGCCAATCGTTCCAAAAGGTCAAGAAATTGAAGTATGTGTATCTGCATGACCTGTTGAGCAGAAGAGTGCCACAAACTCCCCAAAATCCAACAACAAACCCAAGCCCCATGCTGATGTAATATCCTTGTGTTATGAGCCCATCCTGGCTGTCTTGGTTCACCAACATAGGTTGTCCTGGACCTTTTTCCTCCTCAGGGCATGTCTTTGGGAGTGGTGCTCCACAAAGCAGAGGATTTCCACCATAAGCATAGTCAAAGCTTTGGAGTTGAGTGCCTATTGGAATTTTTCCAAACAAGTTGTTTTCTGACAAGTCCAACTTAGGAAGACGAGCTATCCGAGAAAGACTTGTTGGAATTCTACCATTTATCTGGTTTCTTGATAAATCAAGAGACTCTAACTCCTGCAAATTTCCAATCCTTGAAGGTATTTGACCTGTTAATTGGTTTCTCGACAGGTTTAAAGAAATCAAACCAACAAGATAAGTGATTTCACTAGGAATCTCCCCAATCAACTTATTGCTTGAGAGATCAATACTCTTTAGAAGTCCTAGAATACTTTTAAATTCAGCTCTCAATCCTTTCCATATTAAAGATGCTTCATCATCATAAACCTCATAAAAGGTTATGCGTCCAGAATTACCTGTGAAGGAATGTTGGATAGTTTGACTTGAACTTCCTTTTTGAGTCAGAGTAGTCAAACTGTTGAGACATTTGGGTATAGTTCCAGAGATGTTGTTCTTTGACAAATCCAAAAGTTGAATACTTTTGAGATGACATAATTGTGGTGGGATGCTTCCATAGAAGTGATTAGATTGAAGGATAAGGATAGCTAAATTTGGGTGACTTGCCCCTAACCATTCAGGTATTGATCCCAATAATTTATTTTCCCCAAGATTAAAAAGTGTCAAGTTTCTGCAATTCTTCAATTGTGAAGGCAACTCTCCCACAAATCCGTTGTTATTTAGTTTTAGTGTCTCAATGCTAAACAAGTACCCCATGGTGGTAGGAATTTTTCCAGATAAAGAGTTATTGCTCAAATCAAGAAAGACTAATTTTTAAAATGGATCCAACAATCCGGAAGTTCTCCGAATATATGATTGCTTGAGATATCAAGAAAACTTAAATTACTATCCTTGGTTGTGCACAAAAAAGAAGCTGCTGCCACTGAAAATTTATTATTGGAGAGATCTAAAAAAGTAACTTCTGATAAAGTTGAAGGGATTGGACCCTCCAATTGGTTCCAACTCACATTTAGCTTAGGTGGGAACTCCGATCTCAAATTTCCAATTGTTCCTCTAATTTGATTCTGAGAGAGATCCATAAAGAATACTTGATGTGACAAATCCCAAAGCCAACTCGGAATGGTATCAGTAATTCCATTATTAGAAATATCAAGACTGGAAACACTTTTCTGAGTTCGAAGCCATTTTGGGAAAGATGGCCCCATCTTACAAGACCTCAATGTCATTGATTGCAACTGAAAGGGAGGAACCCAATCAAAACTGAAGTTTAAAGATAGAGAGTTGGAGGATAAACCCAAATACTTTAATTTGAAAAGTTTCGAGAAATGGATTTCTGAAATCACTCCTTCCAAAGAATTCCCACTAAATTCAAGAACCTCCAACTTGGACATGTGTCCAATATTTTCAGGCACTGAACCCATGATGCCATGATTATTAGAGATATCCAAATACTCTAATGTGTTTTGAGCGCATTTAGACAATATGTCAATAATGTCTGAAAGTTGTCCACTAAGGCTATTATTCCCAAGGTCCAAATGCCGCAGACTACATAACTTGCCAAACGAATTTGGGATCCCTCCTTTAAGTCTGCTAACAGAGAGAGCAAGATATGCAAGAGAGCTCATGTTTCCGAAATCATCAGGAATTGAGGAACCATTTAAATTGTTCCCAGATAGATCAAGATCAACAAGGTTGGTATGAGTACCGGACAGCCATTGAAAGATTGAAGAGTTAAGATTGTTGTAGGAGAGATCGACACTTACAAGAGATTTAGAAGAGTTCAAAACAGAAACAGAGGATATAATTGGAGGAGGAAGATTACACCCCCATAATATCAAGTATCTTAATTTAGGAAGCATATTAACTGCTTCCAGCCAACCAACAACACCGGTGAGATTAGTGGAACTGAGGCCCAAGTGTTTTAGACAAGAAAGATTAGAGAGCCAATTGAGGTTTTTTGCAGAAATAAATCCATCCGAGCTGAGATCGAGATATTCCAAGTGTGTGAGATTTTCAAGTTGATATGGAATTTCACCTCCAAATTTTGCATAAGAGAGATCGAGGTATCTTAAATTGCTCAAAGATCCAATGAACTCTGGAATTTGGCTCCGACTGAAATTATTGGAACCAAGGTTCAAATACTCCAAATGCTGCAACTCAACGAGTTTAGGACTAATCGTACCTTGCAAAGATTGGCCTCCAAGATCAAGCTGAACAACATGGCCAGTCTGGTTGCTGCAGTAGACTCCGGCCCATTGGCAACAGTCTTTGGTTTGCACTTCTCTTCCCCATGAAAGGAGGCGATTGTCGTCATCCACGAGGCCTTGTTTGAATGCAAGGAGGGCTTGCATTTCCCTCTCACTGCATCCAATGCAAGGATTGTTCATGTGTAGTAAAAGCACCACAATTGCATACAAGACTTTGAAGCAGTATATTTGCTTCTCATGATCAATGTTAGTTAGAGTCATGATCAAGATGAAGAAGCACAACTATTTAGGACAAAGATAAAGCACAGCCAAATAAAGCATGCATGGAAATCTGGTGAAGGATCTTTGCTGACAAGCATTAATTATTTATAGTGGTTACCTTGCATCATCTTGTTAACTTACAAAATGATATATTTAGAGACAAGAATTAACATAATTAACCGATGTTTCAGACTCTTTGTCTAGCAAGACTCATGCAAATTCAAAATATATTTCCTTTTTCTTTGTAGACGCATTATATATTTTGTATTTTTTGTCTGATATAATAGAGCAGAAAGAGACACATCATCATGCTTGATGTCTTATTGGATAGGGACGATTAGTAACTCTACAAATGTTGCCAAATGTGTCTCATTGATTTAATTTCGTAGAATAAAATTACACATCATTGACTTAATTTGCTTGCTTTTTTGTCTTTCCTTGTGGAAACAAAGGAAAGTGAAGAAATTTCCCTTTCATTTCCATGTGCATGCAGTAGTGCACATAGACTAGAAAACAAAGAAAATGACCTAAGAAAGGGATGCCATTTAATTTAGTGATACAGTTCTTTGGTCTATACAATTGATCTCATGAATAAACCTCTCATCAGTTTTCTCCATCCTATTGATATAGATCATCATCACTCCCTTGTTGATGGGAATTGCTTGGCAAGTTCATTTCTTTGAGAGTATCACGCGGGCAATATCATCCAGATTAGGACTTGTAATATCCCACATTGAACAACGGAGAGGGGGTGATGTGCCTTATATGTACATGCTCACCTCCATCTAGCACGATGCCTTTTGGAAGCTCACTGGCTTCGGAGTTATGGGAACTCCGAAGTTAAGCGAGTTGGGGCTAGAGCAATCCCAGGATGGGTAACCCACTGGGAAGTTGCTCATGAGTTCCCAGAAATAAAACCGTGAGGGCAGAGAAGAGGGCCCAAAACGGACAATATCGTGTTACGGTGGAGCCGATCCTGAGATGTGACAATTTGGTATCAAAGCCTCTCTGCCATGTGGTGCGAGTGTGCCGACGAGGACATCGGGCCCCTAAGGAGAGTGGATTGTAATATCCCACATCGACCAACGGAGAGAAGGTGATGTGCCTTATATGTACATGCCCACCTCCATCTAGCACGTGTCCTTTTGGGAACTCACATCGAATGAAAGATCAAGTCCAATAACATGACCTGTTTGGTTGCTGCAATAGACTCCTATCCATTTGCAACAATCTTGTTTTTGAGCTTTTGAACCCCATGAAGAGAACATGTTCATACAAGACAAAACTATAAGGAATCCGTCAAATGTGGGTCCACAACAATGATATGCTTCATTTAGTAATTGAATGAATCTTGGAATTATTCATTTGGAATACGGAATATTGATTGAGTTATAGTCCAAGCATAAAGTTAGGTAAAATTAAGAAAGTAACGAGAAAGTGATGAGTTGGCGGGGGCGACTAAAGGCTACCCTTTGTGAGATAGATTGATGCTCTTAACTTTGGCACCATGAAATAATTTCGCAGGCATCCTCCAGTAGTTTCTTTGGATTAAAGCGAACTAGATGGTGCTGCTTGCGGTTATCTTTGCCTGACTAGTTTCTGCCTGGTATTTTCCGCGATTGCATAGGAGATAATAATTACAAAGAAATGATTATTGAAAATGTTCAATAATCATTAGACAAGTCCCTATATTTCAATATCAATTATATTTTATATTGGAGAGAAGCTTTGAAGGACGTGCGGTAAATGGAACCCAACTTTGTTTTTGTTCTTTATTTTTATGCATTGGAGCAAATTCTTAACAAATAAGTTTCAAATTATTAGATAGTACCTTCTAGAATGCCGGCCAATTCTTAACAAATGAGTTTGCCATTTCTCCCCCATGCAACTATTGACTTAGATTTTTAATAACTCGAACTGACTTGCAGGTATTGACTCGGCTTTGCTTCACTAAGATAATGAGGATAGAGATGTGGGGGAAAATCCGACCGATCCCGTTGCCATCCTCAATAAACTTGACTCAGTAGTTGAATCAATCTTGGAATTATTTATCTGGTAGTTGGCCACCATATTGATTTACTTAGTCTCGGCATATAAAGATTGATTCCTAGCTTGTTCATTGTTTCTTATTGGTATTAATAATAATAATAAATGTGGTTGAAATTGGTTGTTCTTAGTTAGGCTTTAGTTCGCACGTCTCTGTCTGATTATAACGTATACATGGATATAAAAATATTTTATTACTTTGATAAGAAAATGTTTAAGATAGTTTGGCAGGATTTGCATAAGGCTGCAAAACAATGAGAATGAGATGGAGAACAGAAAAGAAAGAAATTTAATTGGCTTTCTGCAAATGTTATGATTTAAAATACTCTGCAGAAATGTTTGGAGAAGTCCCAATCAAGTTCTTACAAACAAGACACAGTTTGTGATATTCACAGAGACAGAAGACCAAAGCAAAGTCATACATTTATTCAAGACAAAGTTAAGGAGTGTCCAATTCATAAAATTAGGGGTAGAAAAGTGTTTGTTTAAGAGAGAGTCGATATTGAACAGCTGTAAATATTAAAATCAAGTCCGCTTCGGCTGGGAAATTTTTCATTCGCACTGGCTGGAATTAATACATACTAATCGGAGAAGTCCGAATCAATGGTTCCAGCAATCAGGAAGTTCTCCAAAAAAACTGTTGCTTGAGAGATTAAGAAACGATAAATTCATAGCAACACTTGCACACAAGAAAGAAAGCGACCCTGAAATTTTATTATTAGAGAGATCCAATTGAAATTTTCTGCAATACTAGTAAATTAATTGCAGCTGAGATCAAGATATTGCATGTTCGTAAGATTTCAGACCTGATGACTTGGAAACTTGCCTCCAAAATAAGTCCAAGAGAGGTCGAGGTATCTTAAATTGGTTAGAGAACCAATGAAATCTGGAAATTAACTAGAATAGGTCACTAGGTCATTGTGATTAGTCAAATAGCATTACTTGCAAAAAAATCACAACCTCCTGACAAAGAGGAAGTGTAAAATCACAGAAATTGGTTGGGTGTTCTCCCCCTTCTTTTCATGGAAAGAACAAAAAGGCAACTACATACAAGACTGGGAAAACATCATACACATTCATATGCATAACTATCAAAGGAGAAAATCAATGAGATATATTAAGATCAAGAGAGAGACAAACAAGTGTTGCACATACAAATTGTAAACAGTCTGGCCAAAAACAAAAGTCTCCCCCTAAATATGGCATCCCTTACAAAACATACTCCCCTTGAGTATAAGATCAGATAAAGGATTATCAACCTTTGGCATACTAACTCAACAAACTCTCCCTAAATAGCCAACGATCACAAAAGTGCATTACACTAAAGAGATTAAAAAATGGATCACTAGTTTCAAGTAATCATACCCAAAGCAATGAAAATCAAGTGACCGAGTTTGAATTCTATGTGTAGATATTACATTAAAAATAAACTCCCCCTAATTGACATAGTTCAAGCAACACAATTATCAAACCAAGGGGCAACCACTAAAGTTCTCTTTACATACCATGGTGTAAAAGCTCTCCTAGCATCAAGATTGCAAAATTTGATGCATCAAGCATGGTCAAATTTCGAGAAAGCACAAAGCAAGATGAACCTTCATTTTGTGCGCAAAATTGGGAACATGTGGGAAAAGATAAAAGACTTAGGTCTTTAGGTCGTCCAAATAAAACCATATAGCTTGACAAAATCCCAAGAACAGAAGAAAGCAATAAACAAACAAAACAGTAAGGCAAAAGATAACCAATGATGCATTATTAATATTAATAGTCCAAAAATAGCTACAATTAGCTTAGTAACACAAAAACAATCATTGATGGCCAAAAGAACTAAGCTCCACCTGAATCCAAATCATCATAACTAATTCCTTTTAACATGAAGAAGATGCACAGTGCTCATACAACCTAAGCAATAGCAGCAACGGAGTCATCTGAAAAAATTGGCAGGGGAGGTCTGCACCTATTTACACCTCTGTGGGTCCACCATTGTATTCATGTATATGTGGGCTAGTCAGTTGGCCAAACTAGTGTGTCCGGTCCTTCGCACTCAATTTCAAACCCCTGCCACGTACATTAATAAGTATATAGACAACAATACTCCAGCTCTAACCAGTTAGTAAAGTTACTCCACATTTTAATTTTATAATTCGATCGGTTCAATTTTTAGGTTCTCATTTGAAGATCATTCATACATAATTTCATCCAAATTGAAACATTTTATGCACTTGATTAGTATCGTGAACATTTCATTGTTTATTGAAAATGGTGTGTTCCTCTATTTATTTGATCCATTAGATAACTAAGAAAGCATTAAAAAGTCCTTCATTGGAAATTTGAGAAACCTAGCTAGGGCTTATAAGGAGTTGAGCTACTCCCCTCATTGCCAATTGGTTTTGGGATGGAAACTCAACTTCCCTCATGGTATTAGAGCCAGGTTAACCCACGTGTGAAAGCCCAATGACCACACGTGCTCTACGTCACCCAAAATGTGTTGTCCACGTGTTAGGCTTGAAAATTCGCCACATGTGCGGGGGCGTGTGAGAATGTGAAGATAAAAAGTCCACATTGAAAATTTGAGAAACATAGCAAGGGCTTATAAGGAGTTGAGCTATTCCCCCATTGCCAATGGGTTTTGGGGTGGATCCTCAACTTCCCTCATAGTACTAACATGCATATTATTGCACATGGATACCATATTAGAACATGAACACCCAACTTAAAACTGATTTGCTATAAATCAAAAGGCCTATAATCTTTGAAGCACTAATGCAAAGCTTCCATCCTCTCCAACTCATATCCATAATCACTTATAAGTCGTCCCACTCAGCTAAGTACTTAAAAAAAAGAGACACTGAGCAACTCCTTTATAACAGTCATTAATTGGAGTTTAACCAACAACACATTTGTTACCCAACAATCTGCTTTAGTTTGGTGACCCGTAGAAAAAAGGCAAACCTACGATCATCTTTAGATGAGTTTCTCTAGCTAGGTCATCCCCTTCCTCTAGCTCTCTCTCTCTCTCTCTTTGAATGAGTTTCAAAAGCAAATACTATCATTTTATTGTTCACTACTGTACTCTTCACCATTCTTCTTCAAAATTACCATGGCAAACATTAATCTAGACCATAGGGATAGAACCTTCTTCATTCTGCAACACTTGGAAGTGTGTGGGTTGAAGTAAATAAAAGCATGTTCCGTTCTAGTTATAAAGTGATGTTTAAACTCGAATTTCTTAATTGAGAGCCAAAGAAGTTGAACTGTGGGGTATAGTTCAAAAGATGATGTTCAGAAAAAATAAAAATAAAAATCGAAAATTTGAATGCGTGTTAGACTACATAATTGTGATGGAATTGCAATGTCTCTCAATTCAGAGCTCGGTTCCTAACAAATTCTATATGCTTGTAAAGCTAATTAGTCACTTCGTGTCAAATGCAAGGTACATGTTTATGAATTTTGTTAGGCGACAAGAAATCAGTGTGGAACACAAATTGACCAACACATTCAAGCTAGTACCACCATATGTGTTATTTCTGGAATATATTTCTCAAGCCAATGACGTAATTACATGCCGACAAGACTCAAAGTGGTCAGACGAAATTACCCCTGCACAACGCGAGAATGAGATCCGCCCCCCATCATACATTGATTAGGTCAGGACGACACCGTTTCACCTGAGAGGAAGTCACTTCTTCTGACTTGAGGAGACGTTAGACCACAGATAGGCGCAAACGTGCGTCCCAACGGCTCGTAAGGAAAGACCCAACAAGGTCGTTTTTCTTATTGTTTTTGTTTGTTGTCGTTTTCTCTTCCCTTTTTTTGGACAAAGTCGTTTTTCCATCTTTTGTTTCTTCTGTTTTGGTGTTGTGATTTTCATTTCTGGGCTGTTTCGTCTTTCAATAAGAAATGATAAATGATACTGCCCACCACATTATATTCTAATCACAAGGGTCTCAATTATAAACGATAAATTTGGCTTGGCCGGTTTCTCTTCATAAACCATTTTTTATTCTTTAGGCTTTTTATCACAAATGGTCCTTCAGGTTTACAAAATTATCACGAATCGTCCCTCAGGTTTTTTTGTGACACTAATAGTCCTTTAGGTTATCATCCACCTATCAAAATGGTCCTTCTGTTAGTTTCTGTCAAAACTTCCGTTACAATCACGTGCTCAGCTTGCTTTAATATCATCATTCCACTCAACCTTCAACCAAACCCAACCATCAGAACCCTTTCCCTCCATTTCCTCATGGTCCTTCCATTTTAGCGCCCTTGTAGTATGTAACCAATCAAAAAAGAAAAACAGCAACTTCAAATGAAATCTTGCATGTCGTAAACAGCTTGAGGTTGAAAAATAGAAGTCCTGCAAATTCATTATCAATGGCGCATCAAATACAGAGTCCTAAAAAAACTATTGAACCACATCAGTACTCAAAAAACCAGTGCACCACATCAAAGACATCAATCTTGAGCAAGTCCTAACACAATATATCAAAATGAACTTCCCAAATCCTAACAAAATACATCCAAATGAACTTCCCATACAATACATCAAAATGAACTTCCAAGTCCTAACTCAAACTCTCCATGGTCTTCCTCTTTTTGCTAGAGACTCAAGTCTTTTTTGCTGGGTTTGTGGTGTCGTGCCTTGGTTTGATGAAGAAGGTTGTGAAAGAGGAGGTTGTGAACCCACTGTTGGTATCGATGTATGAGATTGTGCAGTTGTTGTCCTGTTATGGCCTCCTCTTGCCACCTAAACATATTAATATACTAGTAAAACGCCAAAGAACATGATATTATATTTTGACCATAGAAAATGACATATGAAAGTGAAAGAACCTTTAACTTTTGTTTCCTTTGCCTAACTGGCTTATCTTTGGGGTCCTTTCGGCCAATTTGAGGCTGCAAATCAAATCTCAACATTATTATGAATTATATAAGGTCCCACCTGTTTATACATTTTTATATTGAAATGAAATGAGCAAAAGAATTTTATACCTGTTTGGTAGCTGCATTTGTGCTAGAGGTCCCACATGTTTTCTTATTATGTCCATCCTTGCCACATTTGCTGCATTTGAATCTGTCATAAACCCATTTTCTTAGTCTATTTCCTGATGTTGCAGCTGGTGGCTCTCCTTGCTCTCTGACACGTTTCTTTTTAGGTCTCCCAACTTGCTTCTTGTATAAAGGAGGCAACAATGGGTTAGGATCATGTCTTTGCCATTGATCTATGCTGGGCATTGGTGATATAATAGGGTTATAAGACTTCAGATAAGCAGCCTTTTTGTAACATTCATCTACATAGTCAAAAGGGTCTTGCCTTCTTCTACTAATGCAAGTGATTGCATGAGAACATGGGATCCCACAAAGATCCCATCTCATACAAGAGCATGATCTTGTTCCAAGATCTACAGCATATTGTCCCCCTTCCATATTTGTCACTTGGTACTTCATATCCCCAGATAATATTGGAATGCAATACCCAGACTCAACCTTGTTTTTTTCAACAATTTTTTCAATCCTTGGTCCCACTGATTTTTTCCATTTAAATGCAGCAACCCTCCTATTTGCCATTCTCACCATGAGATTGGTCCTTATACTCTCAAGCATTTGAAGAATTGGCTTGTCCCTTGCCTTCACTATGGAAGAATTAAAGGCCTCACACAGGTTGTTTAACAACATATCACACTTATAATGTGTTTTAAAGTGAGATTTACTCCAGTGTTGGGCTGGCTTTGGATGCAACCACTTCCAAGCTGCTTCACTTTCCATCTTTATCCTTTCCATTTGACATTTCCACCAAGGGATTGTTGTTTCTCTAGCTGCATCCCACAAAATTTGCTTCAATGTTAATCCAGGATGTGATCCCTTAAAGTTGTTGTAGAAATGCCTCACGCAGTGTCTATGTTCTGCATTGGGTATCAACTCAGCAATTGCAATGCTTAAACCTTTTTGTTTGTCTGATATAAAAGCGTAAGCATGACCATTTTCAATCCTTAAATCCCTTATCAAATGTTGGATGAACCATACCCAAGTTTCCTTATTCTCAATCTCCACAATTGCATAAGCTATAGGAAACATTCCATTGTTCCCATCTGATCCAACTGCTGCCAATAATTGTCCAGGATGTGGTCCCTTAATAAAAGCTCCATCCATACCTATTAGAGGCATACATCCTTCTATAAACCCTCTCTTGCAAGCATCCAAACATATGTACAGCCTATGAAATCTTCTTTGATCACCATCCATCTTTGTTTTAAGCACCACTGTGCTTCCTGGATTTGCTTTCTTCAATTTCTCACAATAGTCATGCAATTTGTGGAATTGATCCACAAAATCACACTTGTTCAATGTACATGCCTTCTTTCCAGCTCTATAGATTTGCTGGGAAGAAGGTTCCAACCCAAAATCCCTTTGAATTGCAGCTGTAAATCCCTTTACAGACCAGTCAGGATCTGCCCTTAACTCATTGAAATATTTCTCAGCCATAAAGGTTGAATTCATCCAAAACAACTTCTGATCAACTGAACAATCATGCTCCAAATTCATTGTTTTAATCACCAAGGTTGGTGACTCATCAATTCTTGATGCATATATTACAAATGGACATCCTTCCTCACATGCAGCCCTCACCCTATTCTTGTCATTCTTCTTAAACCAAATTTTTCTTCCTAACTTGCAACCATAATGAATCACAGCCTCTTTGAACTGACTTTTGTTGGGAAAGTGCATACCAATATCAAAGCTTGGATTCCTCAACATAGACTCTCTCCTCCATTGTCGATAGTTAGGAACTACTTTGGTCTTTTTCTTCTTGCTACTAACTTCATCATCCACATCAGATTCATCATACCCATGTTTCCAAATGATCTGAAATCTCCCCTGCAAAACCCATCTCTTCAGGCTCCTCTTCAATCGGATTATCTATATTTTCCTCAAACATATTATTATCGATCTCAATCTCTTCAGCTTTTCCTATTTGCTCATAGTCACTGTCTATGAAGTCCATATCCAATGGATCTTCCTCATCTTCATCTTGTTCCTCTTCAACCTCATTGTCGTTTTGCCCCTCATATTGTACCTCAAAAGCCTCATTTCCCACCTCAGTAGGTAGGTCCCCAAGTTGCCATTGATTTCTACTTGAATTCTCTTCTTGTCTTTTAAAGGTATCAAGGTTGTCATCATTCCAATCAATAAACAAACCGTCCCAATTCAAAGATTGGGCCACATGAATCTCTTGCACAAATGGTATTTCGTTATCAACAGTGTTCATAGGCATACAAGGTTGACTTACTGGTTGTTGTCTAACTACATACAAAGGCATATTTCTACTCTTAGGCATGGCTGCAACCATCTTCAATACATGGTCATCATTTTCTAAGATTTTAAATCCTCATTGTCCACCTTGCAAAAAAAAACTAACTCATTCCTTTCACATCCTAATTGTTCTACAATCCTCACAAGCTCAATCCATGACATTTTATCTCCATCTACGTGGTCAAGAAACACACCCTCTCTTCCTACATATTCATCAATGCCTCCCCCTTTAATCAGTTTGCCTCCATGATGAATCTCAAGACTAAATTTATCAGGATCTGCCAAGAAGAAATAATTAAATAATGCCAAAAGCCTTCTTTTAACTTAATTATCTTCTTTTTTTTTCTTTTTTTTTATATCAGCATCGCATACCTAAAAAAATTAGGTAAAAAATAGACCTAACAATTAAGTAACAAATGATACATAACTCAACTACTAATAAACAGAGTAGTAGTACACTACATACTTCAATAATTCTCAAACCAAATAAAACAAACATGGTCCACACCAAAGATAAAGCCAAACTGAAAAACATAAAGATATCATTGACAAATATAAAAGGTTTAAAAATATTGCACAATCAAAATACCACCACATGTTCCACAAAACAAAGCAACCACATTTGCAGACAAGCTGTAGTTTACACTTTAACAAAGATTAAAAAACTAACCTGTATACTTTGGCTGTTTCCCCCCTTTTCGAAAGAACTCCTCGGGCTCATCCATCTAGTCACTTTTGTAAGAAGAATAATGCGTATTTGACTCTTCCGAACCCAGATATTCCTTTTGCAGACCAGCTTTATCAATTAAATACCCAAAAAACCCTAATTGTGCCAACTGGAACCCCAAATAGAGAGGAGGGCCCGAGGAGGAAATGGAGGGAAAAGGTTATAAACTGCAGTTTAGAGCGCCAAAAAGGAAGGACCATGAGGAAATGGAGGGAAAGGGTTTTGACGGTTGGGTTTGGTCAAAGGTTGAGTGGAATGATGATATTATTATTTCAAAAAGCAAGCTGAGCACGTGATTGTAACGGAAATTTTGACAGAAACTAACAGAAGGACCATTTTGATGGGTGGATGATAACCTAAAGGACTATTAGTGTCACAAAAAAACCTGAGGGACGATTCGTGATAATTTTGTAAACATGAAGGACCATTTGTGATAAAAAGCCTATTCTTTAATATATATCAAACGAAAGTTGGTACTGCATATAATCCAAGCGATATTTATGCAAATTTTCCTCATGTTTTAAGGACAAGTGAATAGAGGAGGTTGTTTACAAAACATTCATTGAGTGTTTGGAGGAGGTGGAGATGAAAGAGCTCAACTAACTGAACTATACTCCATATGAAGGTGGAATATATATTAAACAATTGTTGATGATAAAATACAAAAACCAAATTAATCTTAGCGACAACAATGTATATATGATGATCGACGCATATGTTAATTCAAGAGGATGATGCTAATTTCTGTTGTACAACTAGAAAATGGAATACATATCATGCTAACTTCAAACGTTATATTCAACCTTTGAATACATATCATACTAATTACCCTTTACCTAATGATATTGCTGGTCCTCAGGTTGAGTCATTCTTTCCAAAGTATGAAGAACTTGAACTATGCTGATCTATGATGGGGATTGGGATCAAGACACAAGTCACCAACCAAATACACGAGTATTGAAATCTAGGGCTAGTGCAAACTCACATATCGTAGCAAATCCATGCCACAAATAAACTATTTCCTCAATCATCAACATCAACTCCCCTACAACTATTACATTAGCCTTATTTATAGGCTTTACAAGACTTGGGCACTAAGGCTACTTGTTCCAAAAGTAAACTAATTAATTATAAAATCACTCATAAATAATAAAAGATATCATGAAACTACCTAAATAAGAAAATAACAATATATCATGAAGTAACTAATTAAATGGTAAATATCTATGTTGATCCACCCCTATGCTCCTGCATCAGACTCCCCTGGTTGGAAATAATTCGTCCTCGAATTCAAGCATTTGATTGAGGAAAATCCGAGTAGAATCTTCAATTGCTTCATATTAATTCTAGATCTTTTAGCATCCAATTGAAACCTTCCTTTCCAAATAAAATGATATTTGGAATATTTCGTTATTCTTGGCATCTTCTTACTCCTTCTAACAATGCAAATGTTTCTCTCTAGAATCTTCAACCGATTGACAAAATTAACCAGATTTTTGGCAACCTTTCAAGTGAAAATATTAATGCCCATAAAATCAATAATATCTTCAAAAATTTTCTCAATTCTCATCTCTTCACTGTCCTGATCAACAAATTGCTTATCAAAATTGCTTTGAACACCCAAACAATTTTCATTGCAATTTTCACAGTTGCAAGGATCAAATATTGGAGGTAAATCCAAATTTAATAACTTTGATGAATAACAAGATGCACCAAAATTACCAAATCCATTTATACCTTCAAAGACACAATGAGAATAATCGTGCCCCTCTTCACTTGACTCACACAGTGGAGTGCAATAATGAAAAGGGCTATCTCCCTCATATTCCCCGTCGAGACTCCCACAGCTTAGAGTGTCGATGCGAGCTACTCAGTTTTGATAAGCTTTCATGCATCCCTCCCCGTCAGAACTCTTACCTATTTGGGTTCGAGCTTCGATGCGAGCGATGCATTCCATAAGTTGCCATAGCATCCTCCTAATTTCCACCATGTCGTTGTAGTTGTTAACACAACCCTCCATCCAAAAACCTCCCAAAGAAAGCAGATCTTGAGCCGTAGCTCTGATACCAATTAATGGGGATCGGGATCAGGACACAGGTCACCAACCACATACACGAGTACTGAAATCTAGGGCTAGTACAAACTCACATATATCGTAGTAAATCCATGTCACAAATAAACTATTTCGTTAATCATCAACATCAACTCCCCTACAACTATTACATTAGCCTTATTTATAGGCCTTACAAGACTTGGGCACTAAGGCTACTTGTTCCAAAAGTAAACTAATTAATTATAAAATCACACATAAATAATAAAAGATATCCTGAAACTACCTAAATAAGAAAATAACAATATATCCTGAAATAACTAATTAAATGGTAAATATCTATCTTGATCCACCCCTGTGCCCCTGCATCAATCTGGCTAACTCGTGGAACATCAATGTGCCAGAAACTCCCCAAAATCCAAAAGCAAATCCCAGCCCCATACAGATGTAAAATCCACGCGTTACAAGCCCATCCTCATGGTCTTGATTCCCTAAGCCAGTTTGTTGAACATTGCCTTTCTCTTTCTCCCGATCACACATCCTTTGAAGTGGCAGTCCACAAAGCAGAGGGTTTTCGGCAAAGGCTGACTGATCAAAGTTTTGGAGTTGAGACCCCATTGGAATATTTCCAGACAGGTTGTTGTTTGACAAGTCCAAGTCACCAAGACCATATATCTGAAAAAGACTTGTCGGAATTCTTCCATCGATATGATTTCTTGATAAATCAAGAGACTGTAATAACTCCAACTTCCCAATGTCTTGATTTATTTGACCTGTTAGATGGTTTCGCGACAGGTTTAAAGAAACTAAACCAACAAGATGAATGATTTCTTTAGGGATCTCCCCCGTCAATTGATTGCTTGACAAATGAATGCTCTTCACAAGTCCCAGTGTGCTCTTGTATTCAGACATCGTTCCTTTCCATATTAAGGTTGCACGATCATCATAGCTCTCCGAAAAAATCCCATTTCCAAAATCACTTGAATAATGATGAGTGATGGTTAGAATTGAATTTCCTTTATCCACTAAAGCCGTCAAATTGTTGAGACATTTGGGTATAGTTCCAGAGATGTTGTTGATTGACAAATCCAGTATTTGGACATGTGTTAGATTGCATAACTGTAAAGGAATTCTACCATAAAAGCGATTAGACCGGAGGATAAGGATAACCAACTTCGGAAGTTCAAATAGTAACCATCCAGGTATCAATCCTGACAGTTGATTTTCTGCAACATCAAAAACTTTCAAGTGTTTACAGTTCATCAAGGATGAAGGCAACTCTCCCACAAATCTGTTTCTTTTGAGTTTCAAGGTTTCAAGAGAATATAAATTCCCCAAGGTGGTAGGAATTTTGCCCAAAAAACCATTGTTACACAATTGAAGAACGACTAGATTTTCTAAATGCGTCCAGCAATCTGGAAGTTCTTCAGATACACGGTTGCTCGAGAGAACAAGAAGGGTTAAATTACTGGCCTTGATTCCACACAAGAAAGAAATGAACCCGGAAAGATTATTGTTGGATAGATCTAGAGATGATGATTTTGACAGAAAAGAAGGAATTGGACCTTCCAGTTGGTTCCAACTAAAATTTAGCTTAGGGTAATGAGCAAACTCCTTTGTTGAACTTGGAAATGTTCCTCTAATTTGGTTGTGGGAGAGATTTATAAGGACAGCTGTACGTGACAAACCCCAAAACCAACTTGGAATGATGTCAGAAATTGTAGTGTTAGAGATATCAAGGGATGAATAATTTTTCTGAGTTTGAAGCCATTGTGGGAAATATGGACCCATCTTGCAAGACCACAATATTATGACACTCAATTGAAAAGGAGGAACCCAATCAGAATGGAAGTTTAAAACTAGTGAGTTGGAGGATAAATCCAAATATTTTAACTTGGAGAGTTTTGAAAAATGAGTTTCAGAAATCACCCCTTCCAAAGAATTCTTACCAAGATTGATATACACCAGATTGGACATTTGTCCAATACTTTCAGGTATTCTCCCGCTTAATCGATTTCCGTAGAGAGATAATCGTGTCAATGATTGCATTTGCCCAATACTTGCAGGTATTCTTCCGCTTAATTGATTTCCATGGAGAGATAATTCTGTCAACGATGATATTTGCCCAATGCTTTCAGGTATTTCTCCGCTTAATCGGTTGTTAGAGAGATACAAACCTTCTAGTTGCTTTTGAGAACATTTAGACAATATCTGAACAAACTTGGGAAATTCTCCACTGAGATTATTGTTTGAAAGCCCTAACGATCTCAAACTGCATAGCTCCGAAAACGAATTTGTTATGTCTCCTTCAAGTTGATTATCAGTGAGATTAAGGACTTGAAGAGAGCTCATGTTGCCCCAAACATCCATAGCCGAACCTGCAGTCCTTAATTATTAGTTATTACATAGCTTTTCTGCATATATAATTAGTAATATATAGTAGGCTTAATTATGTACATGCCCCCTGTGCTTTCCAACTTATCTCAGATTACCACCTGTGGTGGAAAACGTCTCAAAGTACCCCCCAACGTGCAAAAAACTGTCTCACGTTACCCTTTCCGTTAGTTTGTTTGAAGTTCCGTTACGAACGTTACTGTTCATCTCCCCCAAAATTCCAGAACAGCAGCTCCTCCCATTTGTTACTGTTCATCGCACCAGTTTTTGGGCTGCCATCGCCTCCTCCGGCCACCCCAAGCGACGACATGGATATCAAAAGAACCAGCACGTTGTCCTCTACCACCCTCACATCTCAGCCGCTGCCAACCGTCGTTTGGATCACCGAAAAAAGCAAGAAATTGGCCGGTTTTTACCCAAAATCTCCATTGCTCGTTCGGGCGATTCCGAGCACCATTTTCTTCGATCCAGGTATGATTTTTCAACCTCTCGAGTTGTTCTTGCTGCTAGTTGTGTTGGTTAGGAGAAATTTCTGAGTTTTGGAGGGTAAATAAGCGATGAACAGTAACAAAGGGGAGGGGCTACTGTTCTGGAATTTTGGGGGAGATGAACAGTAACATTCGTAACGGAATTTCAAAAAAACTGACGGAAAGGGTAACGTGAGACAGTTTTTTGCACGTTGGGGGGTACTTTGAGACGTTTTCCACCACAGGTGGTAATCTGAGATAAGTTGGAAAGCACAGGGGGCATGTACATAATTAAGCCTATATAGTACGTAGTTAAATTAGAACTAATCGTACCTTGCAAAGATTGGGATCCAAGCTGAAGTTCAACAACCTGGCCAGTTTGGTTGCTGCAGTAGACTCCTTTCCACGTGCAGCAATCTTTGTTTTGGCCTTCTGAGGTGCCCCATGTAGAGACTATTTGACTGCGGATATCCACGACCAGGCCTTGTTTGAATGCAAGGAGGGCTTGTCTTTCCCTCTCTATGCATCCCTTTATGGAAGGACTCATGAGTAGCAAAGGCACCACAAAAGCATACCAGAGTTTGAAGCACCTTCTGAGGTCAACTCTGGCCATCGAAGTGAGGGAGGGAGAGGAATAGTTGAGAGAGAGACAGATAGAGAGGGCTGGAGAGAGAGAGAGAGAGAGAGAGAGAGAATGGACGGATTGAGGTTGTGGTTTCTATGTTGCAGATAGAATTATGGAATAGTAAACGTTATAAAGACGAGAGAGAAAGGAGTCATTGGACTTCTTTTACCTAAGTCTTTAATCCTTTTACAGATACAAGAGATGAGCTTTGTCTAAGGAATTGCATGGGTTTATATACTGATAGTAAGTATCGAAACCGAGAAGCCCAATCTTAGTGTAGTGGTACTTTTGTTTCTAATGTTAGAAGATGCCTCAAATTTGAATACCCTTCAGAAGAAAAATATAAGTACAGCAAAAAAGCTAATTATTAGCTAAACAAAGAGGAAATAACTTTTATTATTAAATTGAAGTTTACAATTTGTCGAAGAAATGTCTTGCTAAAGAAAAAGAAAGAAAAGAAAAAGTTGAACGGACATTGACTGTAGCACAAATTTTATTTTCCATAAACCTTGAATATAATCACATTGAGTAAATCATTTTGCTTTTAAAAATTGGAGAAATTGAAACAATTTAGTGCATATATGATTTGTGAAAGTAATTTGTAAATCGTGACGGAGCTAGAATTTCTCTTTTCATAACATGGTTTTCAAAAATTTTAAACAAATGTTTTCGTAATCAAAATATAAGGAGGGCATATGACCACTTCAACCCCGTGCTTGTCCTTGTTGTGGGAAACTTATGCCACTACATTTTGTCACCCGTTATCAATCAATAGCTGTGTCACTTGCTTAGATTCTTGATGGTGAACAAATGTAATATTGACGTGTGTAATTTTTTCAATGTCGGATGTTGGACGTAATTGATGTTTCCTTGTAATTATTGCCAATTAGGCTTGCAAATTGAAGTATGGTTTAACACTAATTATATTAATTGGCATACGAAGTTGTAAGACAAGACAACATTATTCTTAAATTCAAAGTCGTTTTGGTGGGAGACAATATTTTATTAGTTTCACGGTGGAAAATGATGTTGTTCTAGATGGTTAAACGTATGTGTCTGGACTGGAAAATTACTCCATCATGTGGAAGGAATGTTTATGTACAAACACAACAGGTTTGTCAAATGTTATTGACTTTACTTGACTTACTGATTTGTGTTTGATAAATTCCTTTGAGGTCTTCGCACCAGCTCATGTCAAGTCAATACTAGGTTGGGTTTATAATTACTAAATTCAACCGTCATCTATAAAGAATTTGAATTCGGTTCGGGGAAATTTGGATTGCTCACGCTAAGGCAATTAGGTAGTATATTAAATAAATACTTGAGTCTAAGTAGTCGTTTGTCTTCGCATAATGCAAGTACTGACCATGACAATAAGCGGTGTCATGTCATGCCAGGTCTTCCTTGGAGTCGTTCAAAAATTCAATTGAGAAATTGAATATGTCAACAAAGCATATTGCAAGTTGTTAGGAGATTTACTTCCTAATATATTAGAATTTTATTTATTTCCTTTGGTATAGATATTATGTAATTAGAACTTTGCTTATTTTTCTAATATAAACCTACTAGGATTTGTAACCTTGTATTATAAATACCTCCTTTCGAAGAATGAAATACATCTGAAAATATTCTACCCACTTTGTTTGACATGGTGTCAGAGCCAACTTTTCTGGTGACCTGTGTGTTGTGCCCACCAGTATTCTAGCCCCATATTTTTTCTCTACCTGTGTCGTGTGTGCCTCCCTAGGGTTTGTGCGTTGTGTTGTCGTGTTCGTGCCATTCATGTCGTCGTGCATCTGTTGTATTTGTGCATTTGTTGTTGTTCCGCTGTGTACTCTGTTGTGCTCATACCTCTATTGTGTTCGTGCCTGTCTTTGTGCATCTGCCGTATTTGTGCATTTACTGTTTTTCGTTGTACACTCTGCCATGATCTGTTGAATTTCTGCTGCAATTATGGATGATAACTCCTTTGTTGGTGTTGTTGATGCTGCTTCTGGAAATTTATGTGGTTCATACTCTATTCTAGGTACTGGCTCTAATACTTGGATAATTGATACTGGTCATTCTGATCATATGACTTATTATGCTAAATTTTTTGATGAGTTGTCTAGTACCACCCGTGACCCATACATAACTAGTGTTAATGGCTTGCCCTCTCCCATTACGCGCGAGAGCACAATCTCTCTCACTCCTACTCTGTCCTTCTCTCGTGCGTTACTCGTTCCTAATATCCATTGTAACTACTTGTCTGTTGGTCGATTACTTGATACACTTAATACTTCTGCAATTTTCTATCCTACATATTGCTCTTTTCAGAGAGACGATTGGACATGGTAAACGGTTTGGGGGGTGGGGGGGGGGGGGGTTATATTATTTGACATTGCCTTCTGCACCCATTCGGGATTGTGTCGTTCATACTATGCAAAGTTGCAATGTCAAGGACAAACAACAAATTTGGTTATGGCATCGTCGCTTGGGACACCCGTCGTTCGGCTACCTTAAACGTCTATTTCCATCTTTATTTCGTTCTTGTGATAAGTCCAGTTTTAAGTGTGAGACATGTATTTTGGTCAAGAGTCATCGCACTGTGTTTCTTTTGAGTGACAGTAAAGCTGCAAAACCTTTTAATTTAGTACATTCAGATGTATGGGGACCTGCTCGTGTGACTTCTAATGGTTTTCGTTGGTTTGTTACTTTTATTGATGACTGCACTCGCTTAACATGGGTGTATTTGATGAAGAATAAACATGATGTTGCTTCTATTCTTTCTGAATTTTGTGCCATGGTGTTTACTCAGTTCCATGTTCAAGTCAAAGTGTTTCAGACTGATAACAGAGCTGAATATGTGAATAATCCCTTGACCCATTTTTTCCGTGATCAAGGCATTATCCACCCGACTACTACTCCATTCACCCCTCAGCAGAATGGTGTCTTTGAAGGCAAGAATCGTCAGTTACTTGAAGTTGCCCGTTCTCTTCTGTTGGACATGTCTGTTCCCCATCATCTTTGGGGTCATGGTGTTTTGGCTGCAGCCTATTTGATTAACTGTACTTCTAGTTGGGTTCTTGATTTCAAGACTCCGCTTGACGTATTGTGTGCCCATACTTCTCTGGTCTCTGTCTCTAAGTTGCCTCCGAAGGTGTTTGGGTGTGTTGCTTACGTTCATGTCTACTCTCATCAACAGAGTAAACTGGATCCATGTGATCTTCGCTGTGTCTTCATTGATTATTCTACTACTCAGAAGGGTTATAAATGCTATCATCCTCATACTCAGAAAGTGCATGTTATTTTAGACGTGACTTTTCATGAAGATGTACCGTATTATGTTTCTCCCTCCTCTCCAAATCAAGGGGAGAGGGGGAGTAAATTGGGGAGTCTAGGATTACAGGATCTTGAACTTAGAGATGTGGGTGAGGATGATACAAATGATGATCTCGGAGAGAAAATGACCTATCGTCGAGTAGATAGTGCCTGGTCGCACAGGTCTGAAGCAGAAGAGGACACATTCTGCCCAGAAACGACCGGTCGCCCAAATGGGCGCGACTAGTCGCGTGACCTAATGCGTGACGATAATACACTCTGCTTGAAAACGACAGGTTTCCCAGAAGATAGCAACCGGTCGTGTGACACTGATCCGGATGTTGATACACTCTGGATGGAAACGACCGGTCTCCCAGATGAGCGCGACCGGTCGCCTAGGTCAACTGATGCTATTCCGTGTGATTCTTGCGAAGACGAGTTTGATACAATACTTCCATATGCCTTGTCATTGCCCCAGTCCAATTGTGATACTAAGTCATGTGAGTTAATTTCTAATGATCTTTCTGTGTCTACATATCAATTACCCCTACGAACTACTCGTGGAAAACCCAAAGTACAATATTCTCCTGATATACATGCCAAATTAAAATATCTCATTGGCCATTATATCACAACTCATCATTTATGTAAGTCATATACATCATATTTGTGTCAACTATCTAGTGTATGTGTGCTAACTAAATTGCAGGATGCTTTATCTAACCCCAGATGGACGAATGCCATAAATGTGGAAATGGATGCCTTAAACAAGAATAAGACGTGAGATCTAGTTCCTTTACCACAAGGGAAGAAAGTAGTTGGATGCAGATGGGTGTTTACTTTAAAGTATAAGGCTGATGGTTCCATTGATCGTTACAAGGCTAGATTGGAAGCCAAGGGGTATACTCAAACATATGAAGTGGATTATCTGGAGACATTTGCTCCAGTGACAAAACTCAATACTGTGCGTGTGCTTTTATCTCTTGCTGCTAACCACGATTGGCCTTTATTACAGTTTGATGTCAAAAATGCATTTCTACATGGCGACCTCCAGGAAGAGATTTACATGGATCTTCCTCCTGGTATTCCTGTGACCTCTAAGAAGGGTGTTGTATGTAGACTGCGGAAGTCCTTGTATGGATTGAAGTAATCTCCAAGAGCATGGTTTGGAAGATTTGCTACATCTATGAAGAAATTCGGGTATATGCAAAGTAACTCAGATCATACTTTGTTTCTAAAGCGTCATAAAGGTCAATTGACGGCTTTAATTATTTATGTTGATGATATGATTGTGACTGGAGATGATCAGGAAGAAATACAAAGTCCTCAGAAGTATCTAGCTTCCGAGTTTGAGATGAAATCATTAGGTGATTTAAAGTACTTTCTTGGGATTTAAGTTGCCAGGTTTAAACATGGTATCTTTCTATCCCAAAGAAAATATGTTTTGGATTTACTTGCAGAAACTGAGATGTTAGATTGTAAACCAATTGATACCCCAAGTGAGCAGAATCACAAGTTGATGTTATATCCTGATCAAGTTCCTACTAATAAAGAGCGCTATCAACGGCTTGTGAGGAAATTAATTTATTTGGCTCATACACATCCTGACATTGCCTATGCAGTGAGTGTAGTGAGTCAGTTTTGAGGTATTTCAAAGTAACTCATGGCAAAGGGTTAATGTTTTCCAAGTATGGTCATACAGATGTGGAAGGATACACATTTGTTGATTGGGCAGGTTTAGCTACTAATAGGCGTTCTACGTCTGGGTATTTTACATTTGTTGGTGGTAATCTTGTTATTTGGAGAAGTAAGAAGCAAAAGGTGGTGTCTCGATCTAGTGCTGAGGCTAAGTATCGTGGGATGGATCACGGCGAATGTGAGTTACTATATAGTTAATGAGATTGTTGAGAGATCTTGGTTTTGGGCCACAGAAACCCATGGATTTATATTGTGACAATAAGGCTGCAATTGCAACTGCACATAACCCGGTGCAACATGACCATACAAAGCATGGGGAGGTTGATCGAAATTTCATTAAAGAGAAGTTGGATGTGAAGATTGTTTCCTTCCCGTTCATCAATTGACAGGACCCGCCCTAAATTCCTCTGAACTCGGGACGAATCCTGTGAAATCCCCGACATTACACCGATGCCGGGCCCACTTCCACTTCTATATCCTATTTTTCTTAAATTAAGGAAAAAGGACACAAGACTTTCTGCCGGAAATTCGGCAGAATCTCCCCTGTAAATTGAACTTTGCCCAAAATTTCAACCTGCACAAAATCACAATTTAATATCCCAACAGGCAGCATGCACAATATAGTCTCATGCAATTCATCTAATTGGCCTCCGGCCGTCAAACAATCCAAAGCAGTACCACCACCAACGCTATCCAACCAAATAAGGTTCTAGACCAAGCATACAATAAATTCAACCCATTTATAAAAGCCCACTGTAACAACATAATTAAAGTTTAGCCGGTGGCTGCACCTAGATACTACCCTAGGCTTCCTACGTACCCTTACTAAGGGATCAACCCACATGTAGTTCTTTCATTAAATTCCGATTCCAACCACATACAATACCTTTATTCATCTCCCTGTTAATCACATAATCTTCCCATACGCCGGAAAATCCAACGCCACGTATGGGACCTGTCTCACACGCCGAAAGAATCCCACGACACGTGTGTGACCTAACCAACACATAATCTCATAATCTCCCCATACGTCGGAAAATCCAATGCCACTCATGGGGTCTGTCAACACACCGGAAAATTCTATGTCATGTGTGACCTATCATCTCATATCACATACTCTCCCCATACGCCGGAAAATCCAACACCACTTATGGGGTCTGTTCTCACGCCGAAAAATCCTACGCCACATGGGACCTAACAATCACATAATCTCCCCATACGCCGGAACATCCAACGCCATGTATGGGGTCTGTTAACACGCCAGAAAATCCTACACCACGTGTGACCTATAATCTCATATTACATAATCTCCCCATACGCCGGAAAATCGAACACCACGTATGGGGTCTGTCCTCACGCCGGAAAATCCTACGCCACGTGGGACCTAACAATCACATAATCTCCCCATACACTGGAGCATCCAACGCCACGTATGGGGTCTATCAACATGCCGGAAAATCCTACGCCACGTGTAACCTTTCATCTCATATTACATAATCTCCCCATCGCCGGAAAATCCAACGCCATGTGAGACCTAACAATCACTGGATGGTACTTACACAGTGTAATCAAACATCTATATATCTTTATAATAATATATATTAATTTCCAAATTTGCATAAACCTCAACCACAATATAGCATCCGATAATCCCCCAATTATAAACAATAAATTAATATCCTAAACCCACATAATCAACATAACTCCAAAATGCTCAAAACCTATCATTAGGGTCATTATAATCCTCCTATGAAGGTAAAACTACCTCGGAACACTCACGGTCAACCAAGGGTCAAACTACCCAAACTTGGTCAAACGGGCCCACGGGGCCCACAACCTCTAAATTCCGATCTGAAAGTTTCTATAGGTTCTACAAGGTTTAGGACACACGTCCTGCAAGTTTGGTCCAAATCGAATGGTTGGATTGCTCACGATCGGACGGTTACTGGAAACATAGCCCTAGGGTTGGCATTCTCGAAGTATTCGGGACTCCGGTTTACGATCCATCGAATCCTATATGATCTTAAGGATGCCTAGATTATCATATATTAAATTTAAGACGATCCAACGGTTCAAACCTATCGAACCCGGATAACACACAATAGGCGAAATCCATTCAAGATTCAAACGGTATCAAAATTGAAATCCGAGCACGAGGACCAGGAGGTTACGTCGGGACACAATGCCCCTTTTCTACAGTGTCCACGCGCCGCCACAAGCGCCGACAGCTGGTGGGTGTCCAAAGCGATTACTCTTCGCCGTAAAATCTCAAAATCACGGCTCAAGACTCCTACCCTAGGTATTACACCCTATTTGGAACCACTTTTGTTCTTGTACCTACCCCAAAAAGTGACTAAAAGTGGCCACGATCTCATCCCGAAATCCGGCCAAATTTTGGGTTACAAATCGAGTTGCCTACGCTAGAAATTGATTAAATCCTACCCAACCAGCAACTAGAACACATTGAAAGGATAGAAAAGCATACCATATTCGAAGAAAATGGTGGCCGGAGGTGTACGAACGAGCTCTGCGAAATTCCATCATAAACTGTCCAAACCGCCCTGTTTCGTGGTGGTTTCCATCGACCACAACCGCGGATCGAGGCTGTTTATAAAAACTGAACTTTGAAATATTTACAGTTATGCCAGTGAACTTCTTTGGATCACCATTTCTTCGTTACAACTCCGATTCGAGTCCACTATGTGTCTACGGACTCATTTCAACGTACTCTACGCTACGGTATGATCGGAATTTCCAAATTCTTTCCCAAACATAAAATGACCTTTTTACCCCTTATAATATTAAATAATATTTTAATTTCTCAAAAACGTTAATTATTTCAAATCATTTTATTTTAATGTTTATTTCAATTTATTTCCTCACTTAAATTTATTCACTCTTACTTTAAGTATCCTAACACTTTTTCGGACCAAGATGTAACAATTTCACCGAAGTCTCCCCAGTTAACAAGTGCACAAGTAAACCTATTAAAATATTCCGGGGTAACATTGTCTTTTTCTTTAATAATTTAGTATTTAATTATTAGTTTAGGATTGGGTCGTTACAATCTACCCCCCTTATAAAAATTTCATCGTCGAAATTTCATACTTGTCACTTGAAGGGGTATGGATACTGGGCCCGCATTTACTACTCGGGTTCCCAAGTAATCTCCTTCACAACTTGATATAATGGGAACTTAATTTCCCCCATTTCTCGAACCCCCACATGATGAGGTCTCGATTCGAGGGTCACTCAACTTCCAAACATTCCAAACTGGCCTTTAAAACATGGATACCACCAAAATGCATACTTAAATGCTGGGACTCAAATACCCTTTCCGACATTGTCCACTATTCAGAACTTTAGTCCCTTGATCAAATCCTAATAAAACCAAATTTGGAACCTGTTAAGTTCTAAAGAAGAGGGGTCAAGCTAGTGACCAGCATGATGAAAATTATATTATGCCATCAATGAGTAATCTAATCAGAAAAGGGTATTGGTTCATGTAGTGAACATCCACCTTATGCAATGCTTTACATCTCCTTGCCTCTAATTTGTTCACATAGCTCAAAGCGTTTGAATACTTCAGCATCAGAGACTCTCTGGCTCTAGAGTCAAGAAAGGTCACAACCATGTCGGCAGCCAAGCCAATAGCTCTAGCTAAACCAACAGAAAAAGAGAATTCTCCTTCTCCAAACTAAGAATATCTTTTAATAGTTGATGCAATGCTTAATCTTCCTCTGAAATTCCGAATTCTTTGACTTGTTAATATTTTCCTTCTTTCTTTAGAATTGATAGACAACGTTGTCAATGATACAATCCATCTTCCCGCACATGGATCTGTAAACTTCCTGAAGCTTAAGCCTCAAGCTCCTTGAGTAAATCATGACACCAATCATCTCTACTACTACAAAAGGTACATTCCACCCTAACAAGTTAAGGGGCTCAATGGCCTTACCTCTTCCAAACTAAACACGTGTACTCTACTAATCCGTACTCAGTCATATGGAACTTTGTCCCTATAGACTATCATTGTCATTTAGACATTTGCCTGCCTAATCATGATACACTTGTCATCCTCCGAGTAGTGATCTCCGGTACCTTTATTTGGTTACAATTACAACATCTTCTAGCCTTAACTTACTACGATTTGACCAAATCATTTCCTGAAAACACACTGAAATTTCCTTACAAATTTAATTTCCCAGCTCAAACCAAACAAACCTAGCAAATCAATAGTAAGATCATGCCAGGATCACATGAATTTCCTTGAGGTCTTGTCGACTCACAAGTAAACACTCATTACCCCAAAAATCATTACTCTCTAATTGAGTTAACTATCAACCGTACTTAACTCAAACAACATTAACCACTCACAACCTAAAGTTCACCATGTGCCACAAAAACCAAGCTCAGAACTCACCTATTTCCATATAACTTGTCCGTTAACTTTCTCTGACATTCCTACTCCCGAAATTTCCTTTGAGTAACTTCTTTGAACATGGTAGAACCAAATCCTCACATATGAATTCGATTTCATCTGTATGCATAAGAGGCTTCCCCTCTTTAAAGATAGGATTTCTAAACCCATCTAGACAATACTTACCAACTATATCCTCGACCTTTATAGTTAACAAATCCACTACAAAGTTCTCTAACTTTAACCCATGAATGAAAACCTAGCCAACTTGAGCAACCCACATTCATATCTATACTTAGACAAACGTCCACACTCTTTTTCAAAACATCCTTTGCTCTTGAATTGCATAAATTCATTTATGCAAACCAAAGTCTGCTCACTAACTTTGCCACCCCGATTAGTCAACTCTTTTTGTCGGCCTTACCAACTCGAATACTTTCCTTGTGATAATACCTCATCTTTGCCCCTAAACCCTTTGTTAGTCTTAATCGGTTAGATGGTCACACGACCTAAGACAACACTTCTCTTTACAACGGTAAACCTTTAAACTATGCTTAATACAACACCCCAAACTGGATGTAATCTCCAACACTGCCTAAGCTCTCGAATCTGGGATACCCACAACTCCAGTTTTACTTCTCCAATCCTCGACATAAAAATTTTATGTCCCCCGTTATAGTTCCTCTCAAATTGTTTATTTCCCACATGTATGTTACATTTTTCATATGAAAACCTCAACAAATTTTTCAACCGTTCAAGATACCTTTTTACTCAGCCACGCCGACAAGGCAAAATGACACAAAGAAACATAAAATGATTTACCAAAATAAGGATGCACCCGTGACGCTGAGTCTACAGGAATATAACCCAATGTTCTACTCCTATCAATCGCAGCATTTGAGTCCCCGCGAATGAAATTACACTCCACCCAACATTTTTACTTCTCAATGTAGCTCACCCCGACCCTTCGTCATCTCATACTTTTGCAGTTCCAAATATAGAGTTCACTACATTTTCTGGGGTTAGAAACTTATGAAACATATCTACTATCATTGATGACGTGCATTGCATCTAAGAGGCACCATTTTGCACCGGAATATTCCACATTGCCAAAACTCAAGGATGCACACATGGTGCAGAGTCCGCAGGAATTTGAACCTAAAGCTCTGACACCAATTGACAGGACCCGCCCCAAATTCCTCAGAACTCGGGACGAATCCTGTGAAATCCCTGACATTATACCAATGTCGGGCCCACTTCCACTTCCATATCCTCTTTTCCTTAAATTAAGGAAAGAGGGTGTAGGGGACTTTTTCTTCCGGTTGCTGTAAATGGGTCGGGCTGCCGTAAAGGGCAGACTGATGAAATTGTCCCCTTTGTATGAGTTCGAAAATTAAGCCCCAAAAATGCTTCGAAATGGCAGCAGAGCCTTAGGAAGTATTTTGGTTACCTTCACCAGCCAAAGATAGCAACTTACAGGTAATTTATGCATGCTTACAGATAAACTTTTGAGACTAGCATGAGAGGCATGTGGCATAGAAGCAAAATTAGCATGAGTTGAGCTCCAAAAAGGAAATATGGCTTCCTAGGGAGAAAGAGGAGTGTTTAAGGTGAGGAAGAACAGGTTTTGCAAGCAGATGTGGCTGAGAAGAGGAAAAGAAAGAACTACGTTCTTCCGGTAGCTTACCAAAAGAAGAAAATGGGGAAGAAGGGTGAATAGTGCACGAGGTTGCTGGGCTTTTGCAGGTAAGATAGGAAGCTTGCTCTCCATGTGTGGGTTGTTTTTGTTGGGTAGAAGATGCCTCATTTTATAGGCATTGGAAACCATCACTTCCCAAGAAACCCTAATGGCTTCTACCCATTTTGGCCAAGCTTTTCCCTTCCTTTCTCATCTCCCTCCTTGGCTTTTCCTATTTTGATGAAATCCCTTCTGTCTATTTGCACAAGATTAGAGTTTTTTGAAGCTCAAGGCCCATTTTTCCCGCAGCTGTCTCAATGGCAGACTTCCATTCCCAACCATCTCTTTTATTGCTTTCTTCTCTTTTTTCCATGGCCAAGTCTAATGGGAAAAGGAGTTAGGATATATATGCTGGTTCGAGGGGTGCTTCTGGCAGCTCACAGGCTAATATTCTTTGGTTCCTTGAATGTTTCTTGCTTGGAACTTGCTCCCCCCATGTGCTGGAACCTCCAGCAGCTCTGTTCAAAGAACCTACAGACCTTCTCTACGTGGCTTCTATTTTTCTAGCAAGGGGCTGAGGCTTTTGTGGTTCCTTAAGTAAGTGAGCTATTTTTATTAAACATTGGGCTCTTTGGTTGAGTCAATAGGCTATTTTGCTTGGGCTATTTGGGCTATTTCTTCTCCTTTGTGCTCACCCACATGTTTGGACCAAAGAAATGGGCTTGAGTCCTAAGGCTCCCAAGTAACCCGAGACTTTCCATTTCTCGGCCCATCAATGGGCCTCATGTTGATTTATTACCATCCATACCACAACCCACTCAAGCAAGCCCCGGGCATTTGAGTTGTTTGGGGCCACTTAGGCTTGTAGCGTGGTTGGGTGTGAGATAACGATTTTGTGCTTGGCATGACATGTCGCTTGGCATGTTTTAATTTTATCGTCCTTGGGAAGGACTGCGATGTTTAATTTCGGCATGGGCTTGTAGAGGCGGTATATTTTATCTCAACCCCTAGCATAGCGAATTTATTTAGCATGGCACGTGAACTACAACTCGCATGTGGCGGGTTTTTGTGTACTCCGCTTTACGCTTTTTCTTAATGGAGTGTCGTTTTGGGCTGAAAATTTATTCGGGCCCAACCATGGATTTTTTGGGCCTTAACAGAGGGCACGAGACTTTCTGCCGGAAATTCAGCAGAATCTCCCCTGTAAATTGAACTTTGCCCAAATTTTAAACTTGCATAAAATCACAATTTAATATCCCAACAGACAGCATGCACAATATAGTCTCATGCAATTCATCTAATCGGCCTCTGGCCTTCAAACAATCCAAAGCAGTACCACCAACAACGCTATCCAACCAAATAAGGTTTTGGACCAAGCATATAATAAATTCAACCCATTTATAAAAGCCCACTATAACAACATAATTAAAGTTTACTAAGGGATCAAGCCACACGTAGTTCTTTCATTAAATCCCGATTCCAACCATATACAATACCTTTATTCATCTCCCTGTTAATCACATAATCTCCCCAAACATTAGAAAATCCAACGCCACGTATGGGGCTTGTCTCACACGCCGGAAGAATCCCACGACACGTGTGTGACCTAACCATCACATAATCTCATAATCTCCTTATACGCCGGAAAATCCAACCCCACGTATGGGGTTTGTCAACAAGCCGGAAAATTCTACGTCACATGTGACCTATCATCTCATATCACATACTCTCCCCATACGCTGGAAAATCCAACGCCACGTATGGGGTCTGTTCTCACGCTAGAAAATCCTACGCCATGTGGGACCTAACAATCACATAATCTCCCTATACGCCGGAACATCCAATGCCACGTATGGGGTTTGTCAACACGTTGAAATGGGGGGTTTAGGCCCAAAACTGCCTTCCAACGGACAAATGCTGCTCGAGCTGTGGGTGGGCTCCACAAGCCTGGGCTAGCCCTCAGGCAAAATCAGCCCTCAGTCCAACCTGGGTTTGCTGACGTCAGCAACCAAAATTTTTTTAAAAAATACTAAAAATTTCAGAATTTTTAAAAAATAAATACTTAGTCATATTTTTCACTTCCCACATCAAAACTCTATACAAATTCCTCTCTTCATATCTTATGTGAATAGTGGTTGCCATGACAACGGGTGGAAACACACTTTGCTTTTTGCAAGGGCAGCCACTATTCACATGAATAGTAGCTGCTCTAATCCCCCCCTTGCCATGACAAAGGGTAAATGGGTGGAGTTGCTCTTAAGGAGAAGTTAGACCACAGATAGGCCCAAACATGCATCCCAACGGCTCATAAGGAAAGACCGAACAAGGTCGTTTTTCTTCTTGTTTTTGTTTGTTGTCGTTTTCTCTTCCTCTTTTTTTTTGGGACAAAGTCGTTTTTCCTTCTTCTGTTTCTTCTATTTTGGTGTTGTGATTTTCATTTCCGGGCTGTTTCGTCTTTCAATAAGAAACGACAAAAGTCTCTGTGCTAAAATTGTGGTTTTGTTTTTGGGTCAAAAGTCTATCATAAATGATACCGACCACCACATTATATTCTACAAAAATTCTAATCACAAAGGTCTCAATTATAAATGATAGTTGAAAATCAATACTTTTAGTGATAAATTTGGCTTGGCCGGTTTCTCTTCGTAAACCATTCTTTATTCTTTAACATATATCAAACCAAAGTTGGTATTGCATATAATTCAGGTGATATTTGTTCAAATTTTCCTTATGTTTTAAGTACAAGCGAATGGAAAAGGGATTTACAAAAATATTCATTCAGTGTTTGGAGAGGGTGGAGGTGGAAGAGCTCAAACAACTGAACTATACCCACAAGAAGGTGGAATATATTAAACAATCGTTGATGATAAAATACAAAAACCAAATTAATCTTAGCGACAATATATATATGATGATCGAGGCATATGTTAATTCAAGAGTATGATGCTAATTTCTTTTGTACAACTAGAAAATGGAATACATATCACGCTAACTTCAAACGTTATATTCAATCTTTGAATACATATCATACTAATTACCCCTTGCCTAATGATATTGCTGGCCTTAGGTTGAATCATTCTTTCCGAAGTATGAAGAACTTGAACTATGTTCTGCCTGACTCGTGGAACATCAATGTGCCAGAAACTCCCCAAAATCCAAAAGCAAATCCTAGCCCCATACTGATGTAAAATCCACGCGTTACAAGCCCACCCTCATGGTCTTGATTCCCTAAGCCAGTTTGTTGAACACTGCCTTTCTCTTTCTCTTGATCACACATCCTTTGAAGTGGAAGTCCACAAAGCAGAGGGTTTTCAACAAAGGCTGACGGATCAAAGTTTTGGAGCTGAGACCCCATTGGAATATTTCCAGACAAGTTATTGTTTGACAAGTCCAAGTCACCAAGACCATATATCTGAAAAAGACTTGTCGGAATTCTTCCATCGATTTGGTTTCTTGATAAATCAAGAGACTGTAATAACTCCAACTTCCCAATGTCTGGATTTATTTGACCTGTATGGTTTCGCGACAGGTTTAAAGAAACCAAACCACCAAGATGAATGATTTCTTTAGGAATCTCCCCCGTCAACAACCTGGCCAGTTTGGTTGCTGCAGTAGACTCCTTTCCACGTGCAACAATCTTTGTTTTGGCCTTCTGAGGTGCCCCATGTAGAGACTATTTGACTGCTGGTATCCACGACGAGGCCTTGTTTGAATGCAAGGAGGGCTTGTCTTTCCCTCTCTATGCATCCATTTATGAAAGGACTCATGTGCAGCAAAGGCACCACAAAAGCATACCAGATTTGAACCACCTTCTGAGGTCAACTATGGCCATCGAAGTGAGGGAGGGAGAGGAATAGTTGAGAGAGAGACAGACAGAGAGAGCTGGAGAGAGAGAGAATGGACGGATTGAGGTTGTGGTTTCTATGTTGCAGATAGAATTATGGAGTAGTAAACGTTATAAAGACGAGAGAGAGAAAGAGTCATTAGACTTCTTTTACCTAAGTCTTTAATCCTTTTACAGATACAAGAGATGAGCTTTGTCTGAAGAATTGCATCGGTTTATATACTGATAGTAAGTATGGAAACCGAGTAGCCCAATCTTAGTGTAGTGGTACTTTTTTTTCTAATGTTAAAAGATGCCTCAAATTTGAATATCCTTTCACAAGAAAAATATAAGTACAGCAAAAAAGCTAATTATTAGCTAAACAAAGAGGAAATAACTTTTATTATTAAATTGAAGTTTACAATTTGTCGAAGAAATGTCTTGCTAAAGAAAAGAAAGAAAAGAAAAACTGGTTGGACATTGACTGTTGCACAAATTTATTTTTCATAAACCTTGAATATAATCACATTGAGGTTTTTAGGTTTTGAGGTTTTTAATGCATTTCTCTAACTAAGAAACCCTTCCCTCCCTCCTCCGCCCCCCGCCGGCCCCCCCGCCGAAAAAAGAAAGCACACGCTCAGGTGCAACAATACATTAAAAGACAACTCAGCATCTAAAAAAAAAAAAAAAAAAAAAAAAAAAAAAAAACTTGAAATCAGAGAAAAACCATGAGGTGCATCGGAACATACCAAATAGTTCATGGTAGAAGTTCCAATTACAAATAATGGTACAACTTATTTACTAAAGATGGTTTATATTTCAAAGAGACCCTGTATCATCACTCAAATACTCGAAAGCTATTACAAATATAGGAGTAGTCCTTCGTCCCGGGCTTCTTCAATTGAAGTGAATCATGTCGTCTCAAATGTGTCTGCCTGCGCTAAAGACGAAGGTAAAATTCCCATAAGATTGAGAAAGATAAATCACACAAACCATATGAGTGTAATGACGATAACAAGTGAACAAAATAACGCATGTTCCTTTAATAACAAAAGGAGAGAATTCTTAGTTTTCGAGGGCAGCGAAGTTATGTATTGTTCTGATTCTGTAAAATATGCATGCATATTCTGGGTCAAGAACAACTAACTCGCATATTATTGAATTTCATAAATAGAATGTGAGAAAGATAGTAGGAATTACCATTTATCTATTAAGCATCCTTTGCTTGGTGATTGCTACCTTCACGTACAGCCAATCATTCAAAAAGGTCAAGAATTGAAGTATGTATATCTGCATGCCTTGTTGAGTAGAAGAGTGCCACAAACTCCCAAAAATCCAACAGCAAACCCAAGCCCCATGCTGATGTAATATCCTTGTGTTATGAGCCATCCTGGCCGTCTTGGTTCACCAACACAGGTTTTCCTAGACCTTTTTCCTCCTCATAGCATGCCCTTAGGAGTGGTGCTCCACAAAGCAGAGGATTTCCACCATAAGCATGGTCAAAGCTTTGGAGCTGAGTGCCTATTGGAATTTTTCCAAATAAGTTGTTTTGTGACAAGTCCAACGTAGCAAGACTAGCTATCCAAGAAAGACTTGTTGGAATTCTACCATTTATGTGGTTTCTTGATAAATCAAGAGACTCTAACTCCTGCAAATTTCCAATCCTTGAAGGTATTTGACCTGTTAATTGGTTTCTCGACAGGTTTAAGGAAATCAAACCAACAAGATAAGTGATTTCACTAGGAATCTCCCCAATCAACTTATTGCTTGAGAGATCAATACTCTTTACAAGTCCTAGTATACTTTTAAATTCAGCTCTCAATCCTTTCCATATTAAAGATGCTTCTTCATCATAAATCCCATAAAAAAATCCTTGTGCAAAATGACCTGCATAGAAATGTTCGCTCGTTTGACTTGAACTTCCTTTTGAACCAAAGTAGTCAAACTATTGAGACATTTGGGTATAGTTCCAGAGATGTTGTTTATCGACAAATCCAAAAGTTGAATACGAGTGAGATGGCATAATTGTGGTGGGATGCTTCCATAGAAGTTATTAGATTTAAGGATAAGGATAGCCAAATTTGGGAGACTTGCCCCTAACCATTCAAGTATTGAGCCTAATAATTTATTTTCCCCAAGATCAAAATGTTTCAAATTTCTGCAATTCTTCAATTGTGAAGGCAACTGTCCCACAAGGGTTTAGGTAATCCTCAAAATAAAGTTCGTGTTAGTAACATATTTAAGTAATCCTCAAAATACCCATTGGCAAGAAATTTTACCTGATTGAAACAACTATATAACCCAAAATAGACGGTTTATACACTCCAAATGTCTCTTGGAGGAAAAAAGAGAAAGATAAAAGACACAAAAGAATTACTGATTGAGTGTAAAACATGTTCAACATATTGAACTTGGATTCAATTGAACTTTTAGAAAGAAAAAAAAACACGTGCACATTCAAGATTATCGTGCCTTATTTATATGATCATTGTCGTATTTGTGGTAGAATACTATAAATGTTATAACATGCTCGTTATATATTAATTTATATTTTACTTATTAGTAGTCGAATAGTAGAATTGTGTACATGTGTGTGTGTATATATATATATATATATTAAAATTTGAAGTATTTTTCTTTTGAAGCTACAATATAATTAAGTTCTTGTAGTTTGAAGTATAGTTGTTGGGGTAAGCTTGCGCTTGTTCCTTTTAAATAAATAAGAAGTCTATTTCTACTGTTTCCTCACTCCCCTTCCTTTCTCTTCCTACGTGATGCTCCGATTTTAGTGCCTTCAGCATTCAGGGGTCGGGGACCGACCATAGAACCCTGTTCAATAAGTGTTAGATACATGTGTTATTGATGATTCTCTTTGTTGACAGATTTAACTATTGCCAGATCATATTCTTTATGAAAATACAATTTCACATATTTTTATTTACTTAAATCCTAATATTAATGTAGTGGCGGATCTATGAATTTTTAAAGGAGGGGCAATATTAAAAGGCTAAAAGCATTAAAATGTCTTTCATTGGAAATTTGAGAAACCTAACAAGGGCTTATAAGGAGTTGAGCTACTCCCCCCATTGTCAATTGATTTTGGGATGGAACCTCAACTTTCCTCATGGTATTAGAGCCAGGTTAACCCACGTGTGAAAGCCCAATGGCCACATGTGCTCTACGTCACCCAAAATGTGTTGTCTACGTGTTAGGATTGAAAATTCGCTACACGTGCGGAGGCGTGTGAGAATGCGAAGGTAAAAAGTCCACATTGGAAATTTGAAAAACCTAGCAAGGGCTTATAAGGAGTTAAGCTATTCCCCCATTACCAATGGATTTTGGGTGGATCCTCAACTTCCCTCATGGTACTAATATGCATATTATTGCACATGAATACCATATTAGATATCAACACCCAACTTAAAACTGATTTGCTATAAATCAAAAGGCCTATAATCTTTGAAGCACTAATGCAAAGCTTCCATCCTCTCCAACTCATATCCATAATCACTTATAAGTCGTCCCACTCAGCTAAGCACTTAAAAGAAAGACAGTGAGCAACTCCTTTATAACAGTCATTAAGTTGGAGTTTAACCAACAACACATTTGTTACCCAACAATCTGCTTAAGTTTGGTGACCCATAGAAAAAAGGCACACCCACGATCATCTTTAGATGAGTTTCAAAAGCTGGGTCATCCCCTTCCTCTAGCGCGCGCTCTCTCTCTCTGAATGGGTTTCAAAAGCAAATACTATCATTTTATTGTTCACTACTACACTCCTCATCGTTTTATCAATAGATCCTTTCGCATCATGCCCTTCACCATTCTTCTTCAAAATTACCATGGCAAACATTAATCTAGACCATAGGGGTAGAACCTTCTTCATTCTGCAACACTTGGCCGTTCTAGTTATAAAGTGATGGTTAAACTCGAATTTCTTAATTGAGAGCCAAAGGAGTTGAACTGTGGTTCAGAAAAAAGAAAAAGAAAAAGAAAAGAGGAGTTGAATTGTGGGGTATAGTTCAAAAGATGATGTTCAGAAAAACAAAAAATTTGAATGCGTGTTAGATAACATAATTGTGATGGAATTGCGATATCTCTCAATTCAGAGCTCGGTCGTTCCTAACAATTCTATATGCTTGTAAAGCTAATTAGTCACTTCGTGTCAAATGCAAGGTACATGTTTATGAATTTTGTGAGGCGACAAGAAATCAGTGTGGAACACAAATTGACCAACGCGTTCAAGCTAGTACCACCATATGTGTTATTTGTGGAATATATTTCTCAAGCCAATGACATAATTACATGCGGACAAGACTCAAAGTGGTCAGACGAAATTACCCCTGCACAACGCGAGAATGAGATCCCCCCCATCATACATTGATTAGGTGAGGACGACACCGTTTCACCTGAGAGGAAGTCACTTCTTCTGACTTGAGGAGACGTTAGACCACAGATAGGCGCAAACGTGCGTCCCAACGGCTCGCAAGGAAAGACCCAACAAGGTCGTTTTCTTATTGTTTTTGTTTGTTGTCGTTTTCTCTTCCCTTTTTCTGGACAAAGTCGTTTTTCCATCTTTTGTTTCTTCTGTTTTGGTGTTGTGATTTTCATTTCTGGGCTGTTTCGTCTTTCGATAAGAAATGATAAATTGTGGTTCTGTTTTTGGCCAAAATGCTCTATGATAAATGATACCGCCCACCACATTATATTCTAATCACAAGGTCTCAATTATAAACGATAAATTTGGCTTGGCCGGTTTATCTTCATAAACCATTTTTTATTCTTTAACATATATCAAACGAAAGTTGGTACTGCATATAATTCGGGCAGTATTTATGTAAATTTTCCTCATATTTTAAGTACAAGCGAATGGAGGAGAGAGTTTACAAAACATTCATTGAGTGTTTGGAGAAGATGGAGGTGGAAGAGCTCAACTAACTGAACTATACTTTATATGAAGGAGGAGATGGAGGTGAAAAACCAAATTAATCTCAACGACAACAATATATATATATATATGATGATCGACGCATATGTTAATTCAAGAGGATGATGCTAATTTCTTTTGTACAACTAGATAATGGAATACATATCATGCTAACTTCAAACGTTATATTCAATCTTTGATTACATATCATACTAATTACCCTTTACCTAATGATATTGCTGGCCTCAGGTTGAGTCATTCTTTCCAAAGTATGAAGAACTTGAACTATGCGGATCTGGCTAACTCGTGGAACATCAATGTGCCAGAAACTCCCCAAAATCCAAAAGCAAATCCCAGCCCCATACTGATGTAAAATCCACGTGTTACAAGCCCACTCTCATGGTCTTGATTCCCTAAGCCAGTTTGTTGAACACTGCCTTTCTCTTTGTCTTGATCACACATCCTTTGAAGTGGAAGTCCACAAAGCGGAGGGTTTTCGGCAAAGGCTGACGGATCAAAGTTTTGGAGCTGAGACCCCATTGGAATATTTCCAGATAGGTGGTTGTTTGACAAGTCCAAGTCACCAAGACCATATATCTGAAAAAGACTTGTCGGAATTCTTCCATCGATCTAGTTTCTTGATAAATCAAGAGACTGTAATAACTCCAACTTCCCAATGTCTGGATTTATTTGACCTGTTAGATGGTTTCGCGATAGGTTTAAAGAAACCAAACCACCAAGATGAATGATTTCTTTAGGAATCTCCCCAGTCAATTGATTGCTTGACAAATGAAAGCTCTTCACAAGTCCCAGAGTGCTCTTGTATTCAGACATCATTCCTTTCCATATTAAGGTTGCACGATCATCATAGCTCTCCGAAAAAATCCCATTTCCAAAATCACTTGAATAATGATGAGTGATGGTTAGAATTGAATTTCCTTTATCCACTAAAGCCGTCAAATTGCTGAGACACTTGGGTATAGTTCCAGAGATGTTGATTGACAAATCCAGTATTTGGACGTGTGTTAGATTGCATAACTGTAAAGGAATTCTTCCATAAAAGTGATTAGACCGGAGGATAAGGATAACCAACTTCGGAAGTTCAAACAGTAACCATCCAGGTATCAATCCTGACAGTTGATTTTCTGCAACATCAAAAACTTTCAAGTGTTTACAGTTCATCAAGGATGAAGGCAACTCTCCCACAAATCTGTTTCTTTTGAGTTTCAAGGTTTCAAGAGAATATAAATTCCCCAAGGTGGTAGGATTTTGCCCAAAAAACCATTGTCACACAATTGAAGAACGACTAGATTTTCTAAATGCGTCCAGCAATCTGGAAGTTCTTCAGATACACGGTTGCTCGAGAGATCAAGAAGGGTTAAATTACTGGCCTTGATTCCACACAAGAAGGAAATGAACCCGGAAAGATTATTTTTGGATAGATCTAGAGATGATGATTTTGACAGAAATGAAGGAATTGGACCTTCCAGTTGGTTACAACTAAAATTTAGCTTAGGGTAATAAGTGTGGTAACCAAATTAAGCCAAAACCCTAGGTCAAATAATTCATTCCATTTGGGGATTATTTGACCTAATTGGGAATTAATAAACCTAATTGGGAGTTACTCAATTTAATTGGGGGTTACCCAATTAAATTGAAGACTACCTAATTGGGTTGAGAATTGATTCCTAATTCCTACCCCGATTCTCAATTAAATGAGGAGTTACCTAATTGAAATAGGATTTGATTTGATACCTACCACAATTAGGGATTTGATTTACCCTAATAAATCAAATTCCTAATTAATCAAATCAATTCCATAAAGGGGAGGAATAATTCCATTCCATCTACGGAATTATTCCTCTGAAACCCTAGCCTCCAAGACCATTATAAAAGCATAGCCACACACAATGGTGAAGAGAGAAAGAGAAGCGGAGAAGACGAAGGAATCTTTGACGAATATTCTCGTGGGGAAAATCATTCCCTCCAAATTGGTGCTTTCATTGAGAGCACGAGTTATACTCAACGCGTGCTCAAGGAATCCGTTCCTCCTATTTTCCAATCCACCGAAGCCTTCCAAACAACCATGGTTGGAAGCATGAAGACGAAAGGCAAAACCGCCGCGATGGCTAAATCCGCGACGGCCCAAAGCCACTCCGCCCACGATCCCGCGATCGACATGGTGGCCCCACCACTTCTCACCACCGCACCGGCCCACCGCCGCCGAACATGGTGGAACCTCCTATCAAGGTGGGCTTGTTACCACCGCTGACTTAGGCCCGATCTTGGAGCAACTTCAAGCGATCCCTTCATTGCCTCCACGCTCGACACACGCTCCCGCGCACACCTCCAATGAAACCCTAGCCCGTGTGCAATTGGGCTCCACACACTTCTCTCCTCCTGATCCACGAAGTCAAGCAGACCTTAGTCTGAGAGTTGACCAGCTAGCTCAGAGAATGGACGACCAAAGCGATCTGATGAGGCAACTCCTCCACCAAATCAGCTTGGCTCAAACCTTGGCCTTGGACAACTAGGCGAAGAGAGAAGGATGGACGAACGCACCGGCAGGCAACTCAACGGGTACCCAGCAGGTCAAGCAGGAGTAGGCAGACAAGGCGAGGGACAACAACTTGATCGGCCTACCGACATGTCACAAGCATCCGCGAGCCCCACTCGGAGCAGATTAAGTTCGAGGAACAACGTGCGCGAGAGGCTAGGCCCACGACTTGACGTCCACGCCCGCTTGGGACCGCAGGGAAATGTACTTCAAAGGCTAGGCCCCCAGGGAGGACAATCAGACAACCATCGCAACGAGGATCGTGAAGAAAGACGCTCAGTTGTCCACTCGCAGACGAACATTCACGAGAGGCTACGTCCCCAGGGTGGTCAACCGGATAATCCTCACAATGAGGACCGCGAAGAAAGACGCTCCGCTGCTCACTCACGAAGAGACGGCTCTCGTCGACCAACTACGGAGAATCTCTCGCAAGCGCAGTCCACCAACACTCCGCCTAGGCAGCGCAGACGAGAAGGTCGACACTCGCAGACCCAGGAGGAGGTCAGTCAACGTCGCCCGAATCGCGATGGTCGCCAACGTGATCGACCAACAATGTGCATAGAGGACGTCGAGAAGCTTATGAATGACCGACTTCGAGATCTGAAGACTGGTGGGAACCTCGACGATGCACTACGCAAGGAGATCGACCAGGCAAGCTCCACACCTTTCACTGCCGAAATCGAGCAGGCTGCTCCCCCAAAGCGATTCTCCACACCTTCGTTTACACACTTCAAAGGGGACTTCGATCCCGAGAGTCACCTAAAACACTTCAAAAGTGTCATGATCCTCCACAAGGCCGACGACGCGTTGATGTGCAAGGTATTCGTAGTGACCTTGCGAGGAGCAGCCCAAGATTGGTTCCACACCCTGCCATCTGGGTCGATCAACAGCTTCAAGGAGTTGGCTTACGTCTTCACCAAAGAGTACACCTCTTACCGGACGATCAAGAAGAACCCTGACCACCTGTACAACCTGCGCAAGAAGTCCGACGAATCCCTTCGAGATTACATCAAGAGATTCAAAGCAGAAAAGGCCAACATTGTAGGATGTGACGACCGGATCGCATCATCTGCTTTCAAGAAAGGCCTCCCAGCTGAACACGACTTGTACCGCGAGCTGACTATCACTCCCAGCCAGACTCTGGCAGAGGTCTACGCGACCGCGGAACGCTACGCGCTCTGGGATGACGATCGAATCGCCGCAAAAAAGTCTACTAAGCATGAAGATCAACCGACTAAGCGGGCAGGTCAAAGAAGCGATGGATTTAGCAACAAGAACAAGGATAGGCGCAGGTCACACCCACAAGGAGACGCTACAGCAGGAGAGAACTACACCAAGTTCACCATCCCCATACATCAAATCTTAGCCCAAGTGAAAAACAAACCTTGGGTAAGAAGACCGCCACCCTTGAAAGGAGATCCAGACAAGAGGGATACAAGCAAGTACTGTGCCTTCCATGGGACACACGGGCACACTACCAATAACTGCCTCGCTTGGAAAGCACACCTTGAAGAACTCGTGAAAGAGGGTCATTGCACGGAGTTCATCGCGAAGCAGGCCATCCAGCGGATTGAAGATCGAGACACCGCCAAGGAACCGCCCCAGAAGGTCATAAGGATTAACACAATCCTAGCCGACGCCAAGGAGTCAGGACTGACCAGCAAGGAAAAGAAGAGGAAGATCAAACAGGCCACTATGATCTCCCAAGTCTCGACTGACCTTCTACCAACAGAAGACGATCTTATAATCGGCTTCCAAAAGAAAGATCTGATCGGCCTCGACATGCCACATAACGATGCCCTTGTCATCAGCATACAAATCGCTCAGGCCATGGTCGACCGAATCCATGCAGACGAGGGCAGCGCAGCCAATATCTTGCAACTGGCTGTCATCCAGCAGATGGGCTTGGAGGCAAAGATCAACAAATCAGCCAGATCGCTGACCGGCTTCAATGGCGCAACACCGGTTACCGTGGGCACAATAGACCTTGACGTCTACTCCCCACCTGTAGTCTGCTTGCAAACGTTCATGGTCATTAATGAGGTCTCACCCTACAACGGCATTCTGGGCAGGCCATGGATCGGCATGATCAACGCCATCACCTCTGCCACACATCAGAAAATTCGGTACCCAATCCCTGGGGGCGGTGTTGGACAAATCAACAGCGATCAGGCCATGGCGAGGAAATGCTCCGCCCAAGGGCTGAAGAAAAGCAAGCAAGCGCAGTTCCTCCCAGTAAGCCAGGCAGATTTGAAGGAGGTGGAACAATCGAACCTTGCTATCTTATAGCAATCAAAGCGTCAGGACCAAGCCGAGGAAATCCGTCCAGAGGTCTTTCCTGAAGAAGGATGGAAGCCCGAGGAGGACATCGAGTTAATACCCTTGGATCCTGACCAGCCAGACAAAAAAGCGCGGATCGGCTCGCGCCTAAGCCCAGACGAGAAGGTGGAACTTACCACTTTCCTCCAGAACAACAAAGATATGTTCGCATGGTCGCCGTCAGACATGCCTGGTATCGACCCGAACATCATATGTCACCGACTCCACGTCAACCCTGCCTGCAAACCAGTGGCGCAGAAGAGGCGCAACTTCGCACCCGAGCGGGTCGCCATCATCGAAGCCGAGATTGATAAACTCCTAGCCGCCGGCTTCATTGAAGAGGTCTCCTACTCGGAGTGGCTCGCTAATGTTGTTCTAGTGGCAAAACAAGAGAAGGGAAAGTGGAGAGTTTGCGTCGATTACACCGACCTCAACAAAGCGTGCCCAAAAGACAACTTTCCATTGCCAAGAATCGACCAACTAGTGGATTCCACTTCTGGCAATCAGCTACTCAGCTTCATGGACGCCTACTCCGGCTACAACCAAATCTTGATGCACGAGGATGACAAGGCGAAAACTTCTTTCATCATCGAGAGAGGGACCTACTGCTACAAGGTCATGCCTTTTGGGCTGAAAAACGCCGGAGCAACCTACCAAAGACTGG